AGCAGGTTTCTAGATGATAAATTTCTTTGTAAAAACATTCTAATTTCTTACATGAAGTAACAGTTTATGGTTTTCAAATTTTTTTCACACCCATTCACATGAGCTACATAAGGTAGGGTTTTTTTTATGATTAAAAAAAACAGTGTCAGAAAGGCAAACTGATACACTGAAAAGGTCACATACCTGTGGATAACAGGGTTGGAAAGAACCCAGGTCTCTAGTACCTGGCTCCCAACCAATCCCAGATTCCCAGAGGAACGCGCCCCCTGCCACTCACTCACGGGTAGACCGCAGGCCCTGTCTGGCGCTGTCTACAGTCACAGGAGGCATGAAGACGCTGAGCGATTTTCAAAACTCTGTATTTTTTCAGTGCACTTTAATGTTGTATTTTAACGCAGTTTAATACTGAAATGCAGAGGTATTAAATCAACTGCTTATTTCATTGCGTGTGTCCACTTTGTGCACGATGCACTCACTCTCTCGCTTCCTGACTGTTTACCAAGGCAGCAAAGTGATGCACGCACCTGATCAGTTGGTTCTACTCTCTCTTTTGGCTCATCCAAATATGGCATAAACCAGTTGGTCTTAGACTGTGGATTATGATTTCTTCTCCCTGGTACCTGGTCAGATTTGAGTGGTCAAAGGCAGGCTTCAAGTGGGTTGGGAGCTGGTCTCAAGCCTGGGACAGCTGTACTTCTGAGATCAGACCTTTTGTTTTCTGCAGAGATTCCCACAGCTCTTCTTAGTTCAGAATGGGGTGAACAATATTCTGAGACTCTAGGTCATGGACCGAGCATGAATGCTTTGCACAAACCTGTTTCTGCAGAGAATTATGGTTGTTAAGGGGGAAGCAGGAGGAAGTGAGGGAAGCAGAGAACTCACTTCGGGGAACTGGTATGGGGCTGGATTCCAGCACTGGAAGAAATATAAGGGCTCACCCCAGGTGAGGGAGTTGGCACTTTAAAGACTCTGATCTCTCTAGGGTGGGAGGGACCTGGAGGAGCGCCTGTGTTCCTTGGTCAGGCTGGCCAAATGCTGACTGTCACTTCCCTCTGTCTGCTTGGTGCTATATTCTATTCTTTTTCCAAGAGCCAAAATTATACTTGTTGCTAGGCACGTGACTTTGGGAGGGAAGTTCTGAGTCTCAGCAGAGTGGAGAGCGGAGAAGTCAGCGAAGGGAGAGAGGGGTGAGAGGCGCGAACTAGGGGATGGCACACCCTGGCCCCCAGTGAAGAGGAGGGCCCCCCTGCTGGCAGCCTGCATGATGAACTTTTAAAGTCCACCCTTACCTTCCCTAAGAATAGAAGCTCACGGACTTGAAATGATTCAGTGAAAACCTACTTTACAGTTGCAATTAACACAGGAGATGAATAATAACATGGTGATACAGAGAAGGGGAAAATTCAAAATATATTTCTGAGACAGGTGTGTATAATGAACTAAAACTTTGAATGTGTGATAGACATGCCACATGACTGTCAAGGACAGTGAGACTCAGGAGATCAGAGATATAGGACCCAGTTAATTTGAAATTTAATGGACTTGATTTTTGCTTTCTACAAAGTGGGCATGAAATTGCCAGTCTTTAACATGCCCTGTGAACTTGGAAGCATTCGCTACGGTAAAGCACAAGCAGAGGCTGCCTTGCCTTACCACGCTCTCGCCACGGCTCCCTTCCCTTCAGGAGCGGCCTGCAGGACCACCGAGAAATGTGCAGTCAGAAAGTAGCTTAAGGTGCCTTCCAGCCCCAAAATGCTCTGAGTTTAGAAGTAGTCCAGATCTCTAAAGAGAGTAATATACTAGAGAAATACATTCTTCCAGGCTCCCAAACACTTAAAACAATAACAACAACAACAACAACTTACAGGTCCTTATGAGACCACGTACTGCAGGGAACCAATAACCCGGACGAGTGAAGTGGAGATGGCAGGTATACGAGCCGCTCTCCTTATGAGCAGGTCCCAGCTCCAAAATTCATGACTCACTGCTCAGCTCACTGAGCTCATTTGTCATCTTAATGTATTTCCTTGACTTCCTCCAATTTCATGAAAAAATTATTTTTCCTTTTTGTCAAATATATTTTATAGATAAAATAGATACTCCTGCATCATGAAATGCAAGAGCTGAAAGAAAGATAATGCCATTTTGTAAATAAGACATACACTGACCCATAGAATTGGAGGGCTGGCAAGGATGCAAGAAATGTGTGTGTGTGCATGTATGTTCAATAGTAGACAAGACTTTTTACGAAGGTCATCTCAGAAACAGAATCTATGATGACTGTCTTTTAAAAAATATATGAGAAGGCAAAGGGCAAAGGTCAACTGTAATAGCACAGATCATTATTAATATGTATAGTCATATATGCTGTTCTAGATGAGCAGTAAGCAATTTTGGCTGTGCTCTGATGGTACCTGTGGAACATTATAAAATGCAGTGGGCTACCCGCCCCTCCCAGAAACTTCTAATCCAGGAAGCCTGGAGGTGAGTCCAGCTCTCTGTGTTTTTGCAAAGGTCCCCTGGTGATTCTGATGTGTAGCAAAGGTGGGGATCCCTTCACTGAACCTCCTGCAGGATGCGCTAGGTGTTATGGTGTGTTGCCCAGAGGCTCTCACTGCGGGGTGGAGACAGCCATTCCCTCTGCCACTGTGAGTGCTGGCCCCTGACTACCCACGAGGAAGTTCTTCTCCAAGAACTGTCCTGCACAGGGTGAAGAGACCTGCCTCATCCAAGCTCATGCCCTTTTCCCACAGGCAGCCTGCATCTGACGACCAGTGAGTGGGAGGAGGGGACAACAAAGCCCAACCCTCTAGCTTTAATTTGGGGCAACCCTGAAGGGGTTTTTAATCCTGTCAATGAATTGAAGGTAAATGATGTGGGGGAAGGCGTGGGGTTGGAAGTCCAAAGACTTGAGCTCAAAGCCTTTTTGCTTGTTGCCGTTAGTGGCCTACACAAGTCACAGCACCTCGTAAATCTCACCTTTTCACTCTACAAATAGGGACAGCAACAACAATAACAGCAACAAAAACTATATGATCTATGTTCAGGAGCTGTTGCAAAGATTCGGTAAGAGTCTGTAGAAATAAACTATTAACCATACACAATGGTGGTGGCTACTGTTACAAACTATTCTTAGGACTAAACACCCCCATTTATCACATGAAGAAAAGATCTGAAAGCACCACATGTCACTGAAAGTAAAAAAATGCCTTAATCACCCAATGCGTATGTACTTAACATTCTCCACTGCATGTGTTCAATGGATTGAAATAATAAAATGCAATCCCTTTGTTTATTTGTTTTGCTGCTTTTACATGGAGCTAAAGTCAGCCGTAAAAAGAGAGCATCCTGGGTGCCAAGACAATTCAGTGGGGAAAAAACAGTCTTTTCAACAAATGGTGCTGAAACGACAGGACATCCACATGCAAAGGAATGAAGTTGAACTTCTATTTCCCACCATGCACGAAAATGACCCCAAATAGATGGAAGACTAAATGTTAGAACTAACACTATAAAATCCTTAGATGAGAACAGCAGTAAATGCCCATGTTCTTGGACGAGGCACTGGCCATAGCGCTCTGATACCAAAGCACAAGCAACACAACAAAAATAGATCAACTGGACTTTACCAAAATTATAACATTTGGGGCTTCAGAGGACACTACCAGAAAAGAAAAAACACACCAAATGAGAGAAAATACTTGCAAATCATAAATCTGATATATGACTTGTATTCAGAATATATAAAGAACTCTGAGCAACTCAACAAGGAGACAACCTAACTGAAACATGGGCAAGGGATTTGACAGGCATTTTTCCAAAGATAACATGTGAATGGCTAATAAACAACCAGAAAAAATACTCAACATCACGAGTCATTAGGGAAATCCAAACCAAAACCACAATGAGACACCATTTCACACCTGCTAAGATGGCTAGAATCATAAAGACAGGTAGTAGGTGCTGAGGGTGATACAGAGAAGTTGGAGCCCTCATACAATGTGCAAAGGTAAAATGGTACGGCCACTTTTGAAAACCACCTGGCAGTTCCTCAAACTGTTTAAGGGTTACAGTACGATCTAGCAATTCTATCCCTAGCGTAATGAAAAGATGTCTTCATAAAAACTAGTACAGAATGTGTGTTAGCAGTATTATTCATATAATCAAGAAGTGAAAACCCAACTATCCACCAACTGAAAATGGATAGACAAAACGTAGTATATCCAGGTAACAGAATATTATCTGTCAATCAAAGTACACGAACTACTGACACATTCTATAACACAAATGAACCCTGAGAACATCAAGCTAAGTGAAGGGAGCCAGTCACAAAAGAACACACATTATATGATTCTATTTACATGACATGCCCAGACCAGGCGTGTCTACAGAAGAGAAAGGAGGCTAGTGGTTGCCAGGGGCCAAGACAAAAGGGGATGAGCAATGACCAAGGTCTGAGGTTTCGTTCTGGGGTGATGAAAATATCCTAGAAATGATTAGGTGATGGCTGCACAACGCTGTGAATACAGTAAAAGTCGCTGAATTGTTTACTTTATGTGCGTAGATTGTATGGTATGTGAATTATATCTTAATAAAAGTGTTATTAAGAAATAATCCCATAAACTGAAGAAATAAGACAGATGGTAACAAGAATTTAAATATAACTCATGGAAAAATATTGTGACTCTTTTGCTTTGATTTCTAAGTAAACACAGCTCATTGTCTGCTATTGAACAAATCAAATCGCAAATCTGCATGGGAAAGAGACTGGCCGGGAACAAGTGACTGTGCTCTGGAAGAATTCACATGCCCTCAGAGAAGAGACTCAAAAGTTCTCGGCCACTGACTCAGACTTAAGGAACCAATAACCTGCGAGCTGAACCAAATCATGCCTGCTAAGGAAAAGGCAGCTTTTTAAAGAATAGGCCTTCCAAAGTCTCTTTAGCAGTACACGCAAGAACAGCCGCAGTTACAGCCCCACCAAAACGTCGGACCCTTACCTGTGTGCTCTGAGCACCCTCTGGGCGATGGCATCGCCGATCTTGTTGAACACAACCTTGTCGTCAGCACAGCTTATAAAGAACTGGTTCTGTGGAAAAACGGTAGGACAATCACGTAAGTCTTCCTTGTCTTAGTGGTGTTTAAGGGAAATGTGGTATACGACAAAATCTACATCAGTATTTTTTTAAATGTTTGACATAGTAGACATGCTCTGATGCCGGACATCACCTCAGGAAAGTAAATCACAGAATACAAGAAGCCTCATCTCACTCTGGGTCACATGCATTCCCAGGTACTGACGGGTGCAGCATGTTCGTCAAGCGAAAGGCTAAACTATTATTTCATTACGCAAAGTCACTAAGCATGTATGTTACATGCTTAGAATGAATGGTAGGAACATTCTAAATTTAACTAATAGGGAAGTCAGATATTTTTTAGATTCACACATGGCATAAATGCTTATGGTTAAAAATTCTATGTTGGACAGATACGGAGGACACACTGACAGCTGTCAAGGGGAAGGGGGCAGCAAAGACTGGGTGAAAAAGGCGATGAGCAAAAAAAAAGGGTAAAGTGGGGGAAAGGTGATGGAAGAAGACTTGACTTTGGGTGGTGAACACACAATACAATATACAGATGATGTGTCATAGAATTGTACACTTGAAAACTATATAATTTTATTAAAAATGTCACCCCAATAGATTCAATAAAAATTCTATGTTGGCAAACATTCTGTCTCATGCTAAGTTTACTTTTTTTAACAAGGTAGATGGTAGAATCCTGGTCTAATTTTATCCACCTTTCTCCATTATTGACTAGTATCTGCTTTGGTTTTATCTTATTTGTTTTGGTCTTTTATTGTGCCTGAACTTCTATTGTAAGTAGCTTAAAAATCTCTTTTGTATGCTGCATATATTTAAATAGACCAATAAAATGGAAAGAGGAATAATTTTCTTTTTTTTCCTTTGCTTCTATTATTCATGCATCTATAAAGCATTCTACAACACCTTTACTAAAAATCCAGGGTACAACATTATCATGGTATAAAAGATTTAGTTGCTGCATGGAGGAATGTTAAAAATTAGATACAAACATTATCACTATTACATGTTCTCTTTAGACATATTGTTATACTATCCCTGTAACTTTAAGTATAGTCATCACAAAGTAACCTTTGCTGATCATCTTAAAGAGATGTATAAACAATGAGTCAGTATATCATCATCTTTATGTAACATTATCATGTTTATTACTATAAACATTTTTATACTTAAGCACATATATCTGTAAACTGCCTCCTGAAAACAAACTTATAAGAAGATACTGTGCAGAAACTCATTTGAGAATGTCTTTCCCCTTAGGGCATCAAACAATCAAAATCTCAGTGCAACCAAACCGTGTTTGTTTTCCTGAATTTACATTATGGCATTCCTCAGCAGCTGTCACACAGGCTGGCCATGTGCCATGTCCTTTACTTCTTTTGAGGGGACAGCACGGTGAATGCTGATCTCTTACCTTGACTAGAGGTATACCAACCAGGTTAGTGTCCTCATCCATGAGTATCAACATTGGCATTACCAAGAAGAGGTAAAGCAAAAGGATTCTTGGTAATGGGTGAGCCAGCTCTTAACATCTCACGTTATTATGCTATAATATTTGAAATCAATAACACTCATCGTATCAGTATTACTAAACTCCAGACTTTATCCATGGTTCATGATTTTTTTTTCACTAATGTCCTTTTTCCGTTGCATAATCTGATCCAGGACACAACATTGCATTTAGCTTGCTAATATTTTTAATCTACCTTCTTTTTTTCTACATCTGTTAAATAAATAAGTCTCTAATTCTTTCCTACTTGCCTTTAATGAACAGGACTCAAGGGGGAGGAAAGCAGGGCTAGAAGGATTTTCTCTAGCCACGCCATCTCCTTCCATGCATTTTTACAAAATTCAGTGAAAAAGACAAAACTGAAATAAAGAAGAGACATGTGCTCTGGTTTATTTTTGCATTGTCATGACTTTTAATTTTTTCAGGATTTTCCAAGTACTCGGAGGTAGTTTCAGATGGACTATGAAATGCACTTAAAGTTCCCAAAGTAAACCCAGTGTCCCTAGATCTCCTCCTATTCTTTGAACACAGACACTGGGATCTGAAAAGATTTGTAATGAATAGTCAGTCATTCATACAGGATTGAAGGAGGTAGTACCTGCCCTCAATATTCTTGCATGTTCCTTTGCCTGCATTCTCCCTTCTCCAACATCCCCACACTAGTGGCACCCAGGGGTCTCTATTTTAGCGACTTAACACCTGTCTATGCTCTCCTGAAGCAGCACATGCCTCACACTTCCAATCCCAGCCAAATCACAATGTTCACATCCATGTTGGAGTGTGACATAACAATATTATGAGTTGATACATTTAATTACAAGGATCTTGGTGACTTCTTTTAGAGTTCTGAGTTAATGTCAGGTATGCTGGGGAAGTAAAAATTCAGGTAACGTAAGGCCTCTTCACATATCAATACACTTAATCCAATAGATGCTGAGTTTGGGGACCCTGCAGTCTCTGCATGGCATTTATGGGAAGGCGGGTTGTCGTAGCGATTTACACGATCAAGACTTACTTCTATATAGATATAGTGCTTGCTGTTCTCTATCACGTGGACGTAAGCTGTGTGGATGGACTCTTCATGGTACTTGATCCCAGCAGACCAGTCAGCAGCAGAGCGAAGCAGCTACGAGGCAGCCATCAGAAATGAGCAAACGTAAGACAGTGGGGTTGACACCAGATATATTGATACAATAAAGTCAATCCATTTTCTTTTGAACAACTGAATGAGTACAGTGGCTTGAGTGTCCTGTGTGGGTCAAGTGAGAGTAGGCGGGTGGGGAACTGGTCGTAGGGAACTGGCCCATAGGGAAGGAGCCCAGCTGGCAATCAAGCACTGAGTATTTCTTCTTCCACTCGGTATATTTGTCATTCAAAACTGGAAACGATGAAGTGTTTCTACCAAGAGTATTTCAGAAGTACCCTTCCGGTGGCTGAGTAGGGTGACCATTTGTTCTCTTCTTCCATGATAGCACCACTATTACCCCAGAACTCCTGTTGTCCTGGTGTCTTTATTACTACTACCACTTTTACTCCCCAAAGTGTCCTGGTACGAACCATATGACATGGCCGTCCTAGCTCTGACTTGATAATGCTATTACTCCTCCTCCCTCAGACAGATGTTGTTCAGAGTAATACCTGCCAAAAGGCAAGGGGATTCATTTAATCAGCTGTCTGATCCTTGGCGTGCCCCTCCACTCTCAGCTCTCTCCCTCCCTCTTATCACGGCCTCCCTCCAATCAGACACTCGCCTGCTCCCACCCAGACCACAGCAAGAGCTTCCAGCTCAGACCCCTGAATGCATGTGAACTACACTGACACGGCGTGGGGCTGCCTGGGTCCAAAGCTTAGCTCAGCCACTTAGTGGCTTTGATCTTGACCTCTTTGTGCCTCAGATTCCTGCTTTATAAAATGGAGAAGCTGCTTTATAGGGTTGAAGAAAGAATTGCATGAATTACTGTGGAGTGCGCTGGAGGCCTGCCACCCAGTCACTGCTGTGTACTAAGTGTTTGCTATTATTAATGAGAACATCAGAGGGTGTTTTTGAGTGGTGGCAGACCATGCCAGCGACACTGCAGAGAGGGCACACTAGATGACACGGAAGGCTTTTCAACACTAAGGCACCACTGGCCATCATCTTTTTCAGCATTCTAACTGGTATTACAGTACAGGGTTGGGTGTATAGTAGGTGATTTCCTTGAATAATGGCAAGACATCACGTAAGAATCACTATAAAAGTAGATTTACTCTTCCTGATTTGAAATGAGTGTTGATGCTGTTCTTCATGAGGTCAACAGAAATTGAAAATTGGAAAAATGGCCTGTAGTTATTAGAAATATATGAAATGATCTGATTCATAATCAGTTTTGTCTGTTACACAAAAACGGGCAAAGTAGGTTTGCGGTTGTGAGTCTGCGAAACACAGAGTTTGTTCCTATTATTTATTATTCTTTTCCATACAAATGACTGTAAACCTACTTTTGCCCATCCCATATATAAACAATCTGGTACAATTCTTACTCTAATCAATAACTTAAAAAATTGCATCTATAAGGCTACTGAAATTGAAACTTAATAGTTCCTAAAATGATTGGTTGTGCCATCCTTAAAATGTTATTTCTTTATTCAGTGTGAGGTATTAGTACAAAACAGCTCCCTGGAAAGCATTTTATGTAATTGTAGTAATGAATATGTGTAATAAAACTGGAAAATATACTTGTGAATAGAAATAGTCAAATATCTCAAAGGAAAACTCATAAAGGAAAATTTAGATAAACATGACCCCCACTGGGAAAAAAATCCTGATTTCACCTCATCCCCAAAGATCTGCATTATTGTCCACTAGTAGAAATAACAAAGATTGAACAAACAGAAGTTTTAATTCTTAGTTCACTCAAATTTATGTTGAATTTTGTTGCTAAGGTACATCATCTTTAACCTTAAGGCTGAAGGAGAGGGAGAAAATACAATTTTTAGAGAATAAGACTTAAGGGCCGTGAGGTCCCAGGAAGAAGGGTATACTTAAGGGGCAGGGAGCCTGGAAGCAGCACACACATGGCTGAGGCCGGGTTTGGGGCGGTGGCAGCAGAAGATGGCACCACAAGGCAAGCCTGACACGCAGCTGTGCCTCGCTGGAGCGCCCTTGGTGGCTGCAACTGCCCTGGGTCTCGCTGGAAACAGTCTCCCCTGAGCAGTGAGCAGCTCAGGCGCTGGACTCAGACTGCTTAGAGGCCACTCTCATCCCCACCACCTACTCACTGTGTTACTTTAACCTCGCAGTGTCTTAGTTTCCTCATTTGAAACAATTAGGGATTGATTGGGCGTACAACTTACAGACTGGTGAATATTAAATGAGACAATCCACGGACAGCTTAGCAGCGTGCTGGGCTGGGACCAAACGCTGCCCGCTCACCGGGCATCAGCCAGCCAAGGCCCCAGTGGCACGTGGAAGTGTGGCTGGTGCACCAGTGGAACACAGCTTCCCTGCCATCCTTCCATGTAAGTCACACGGCTTCCTTGAACCCTTCCCTACCTGCTTTATTCTATCACAAAACAACACAGTTTGCTGTCCTTTAAAATCTACATCGATTCCTATATTGACATCCTTTGGAACATTCATTTTGACATTTTGACATCCCAAACACAGGAACAAATTTGTCCAGTATATTTGAATGTCATTCACAATTGTCAGCATAGTTTCTCTTTCCCCTCCCTCCCTCCCTCCCTCCCTCCCTCCCTTCCTTCCTCCCTCCCTTCCCCATCTTCCCCCTCTCTCCTTTCCTTTCTTTGTTTTTTATTAATGGAGAAACTGATTAAAGACATGATTCCAGAGGCAATATTTCCCTCAACTTGGTAGGACTTCTCAGCAATGACTTTTCTAAGAAATGGCTTTTCTCCAATAAGCTCCCCGATTTCATAAAAAGGGCTGTTCCCATGTATTGATTCTAAAATGATGTTAATTTGGCATCACGGATTTCCTTTTACTTTAATAAACATGTCAACTGTCCTCTGTCTAGCTCATTTATCTTCAGTGGTAATGATAGCATTTAAGAATCTAGTTTGTTTTTCTTAGGGAGAAGAGTTTTTTTTTTGTTGTTGTTGTTTTAATATACTCTGTGTATAAGCAGTTTCGGGACCATCTTTACTTCAGCCCCCAACCTCACACCTTTGCCACCTTTGCCCTGCTGTCTTCTCTGAGTGCTCTTGGAAGGCTTCTGAGAGCACCCAGCACTGAGGGAAAACACCCAGGATTACTCTAACAGCGTTGGTGGAAGCTGCTGAAGAAGCTCTCAGGCTGGGGTGATGCTTTTAGACACAGAAACTCGTGTTGGAGGGGGCAGGCGTGCTTCGCAGTGCCATCGCTCCGTCCCGGTGGCTGGCACGCCTGCGGACCCCAACAACCGTGTGTGATGGCTGGTGGGGGTGGGGCGCAGTCACCGGCAGTGTGCGACTGGAGTGACTGGGCCCAGGGTTTGCTTTTCTTAATTTAAAGAGTATTTTAGTTTTTAAAATATGACTTTTTAATAATTGTCTACATTTTTATATTGGAGTATACATACAGCAGAGTATACAAAGTGTAAATGAAATGCAATGAATTTTTTTAAATGGAATAAATGTTTTTTATTTAGAAAAAGAAATAATTGGGGTTCCTTCTACAGATGAAAGAGTAACAATAATTTTATCTATTATTAACTTTGAAGATGCTTTTCCTTCATTTCAATAAATACATGACATAAAAATTTTGTATCCAGAACTAGCCTGGTGACCCATCCCAAGAAAGTCAATTTTTTTGCTGCAAACTTTTGAAAACTTGGGAAACTATATAAAAAACTTTTGAAACTAGGGAAAGCTTGAAGGTTATAGCTAATATTGATATAATTCAAACAAGTACTCTTCTAAGTGCTTTTTAAAATCCTCACCTGAGAATATGTATTTTATGTTTTAAAATTGATTTAAGAGTAAAACATTGATTGGTTGCCTCCTCTATGTGCCCCAAACAGGTATCATACCTGCAACCTAGGTATGTGCCTTGACAAGGAATTGAACCTATGTCCTTTTGGTGTACAGGATGATGCTCCAACCAACTGAGTCATCCAGCCAGGGCTCTTCTAATGCTTTGTGTGGATTCCTTTACTTAAATATCATCACAGCCCTATGGACTGATACTATTAGGATCCCTGTTTTATGGATGAAAGTAATGCATATAAAGAAGTAAAGTAAGTTTCCCAAGGTTACATAGCTAGTATGTAGCAAAGCTGGGATCTGAATACTTTGACGCTAGAATTTGTCTCTTCCCCTGGCTACAGTATATTGCTACTTTTTAATTCATGAAGCTTGTGGTCTCCAAGTTATATATGAGCAATATAATATGTTAAAAACTATGTTCAAATGTATGTTAAAAGGAATAAACCTAAGGAAGCATTTTATTAAATCCTCAGCCAAGGTATGTAATGGTCATTTGGCTATTGCCACGTAACAGCTGAGAGAGTGAAAAGCTTGAAAAACATGATATTAAACCCTTAAAAATGAAGTAGCCTTAAAAAAAAAGGAAAAAGATAAAATTAAGTAGCCTACACAGCCAGGTCCCAGCTCCCTGCACCCTGCTGGTTCTCTGGAAAATCAGGGATTGGGCCAGATGATCGCTTTCACCCTCAAAACACTCTATGTTTATGACCTCCAAACAATGCCGTCTAGAACAAGGTGGGTAAAATTTAGAGCCAGTAAGTAATGTGAAGTGAAACGATACGGTGGTCAGGACTTTACCAAAAGGGAGAAGTGAAACGGAGTTCTTTTTTTATTCAGTTTCCGTTCATCTCAGACATCTCCTGTCTTTAAAAGGACGCACACTATCTGTCCCTGTTGTTTTCACAACTGGAGCTATTTGGGCAGTTCTGGAAAACATTCACTGGCAACCAGCAGGGATCCAGGCTGTGTGAGGTCTGACCCTTTTAAAATTGCGGGGAGTCCTCGTGAAGAAAAAGAATATTAATTTATGAATACAAAATCAGTGTGTGCTAGAATTGCTATAACGGCTTCCTTGCCTGTCTCCTTGCTTTCAGTCTCTTTCTAGTCTAATATGTTCCTCATGTGTGTTAGCTTTCGGTCCCAAAGTATGCTTGTTCGGAGAGATTCAAACAGACAAGGGACAAAATGAGATCCTCAGGCACTTAAGCTTGGGGAATTCTCAGCCTATTCACTCATGACTTCGTGATACGCATCAGCATAACAAAGGCACTAAAATATCCTATTTTTTAACCTGCAAAAATGAATTTGTCCTTGGAAATCTTTTTTTAGAATAGCTATTAGCATTTTACAGGCAAAACCCAATTTGAAAAACTCTGATCTAGGTTAATCTTCATAAAACATTCACGTATCTTTCTTCTTCCTGGATTAAAAAAAAGTTCTAAAATTCAGCAACACCTCCCCACTGAAGTCAAAATGAACCAGGCCAGCAGGCCAGAGCTTTATGCCACCTACATTTCATCTACCGCTTCTTCAAGGGCAAATGGTTTACTGTTGTCGGTTTTACCATCTGAACAGGCAGGCTTGGTCCTCAGAGGGGACACCCAGCTCCCTCCCTCCCGTGTGCCAAGTTCTCACAGCATGCTGGTCTGCACTTTCATACTGGCATTTAGTCCCAAGACCATGCCTACCGTTGTCAACTGGATTCCTTAACATCACAGCTTTCTCTCCCCTGACTGATTACGTCTCCAGAGGCACAGAACCCCTTGTCTCTCTGCCTCCTCTGCATCCCAGTGTGCAAACAGATGGCACTGCACTTCATACACACAGGTGGCAGAGAAGGTGAACCAAGGGAGGCATTTGGTAGAGTGGACACAGCACAGCATCCACCTGCCTTACCTGCGTGGATGAATGAGGATATTTAAAGCAGGGCTTTACTAACAGGCATTAGAAGATGTACGTGTATGTAACAATGAGATAGAATATCCTTTGCTGATCATAAAATTACCTAATTCCCAGCAATGCCTTTTCAACAGATGCTTAATTAGCATCTGCTAACTTCGATAAATTGATTGAGTCCATTTTAATGACATCTCAAATCTTAAATTCTCTTGTTTTTTAATATCAAGGCTCCATTTTACCTTACAGCATGAGTAATTTTTTCCCTTTAAGTAGAATAAAATTAAACAGGTTCATAAAATATTCATTAACTTACCTAGGAATGCATGTACATCTGTGCCTCTAAGTTTAAATTAGTTGTCTCCTTTAGCCTGGGAAGACTACATATTTGCTATAGGTATTTCTCTGAAGTGACCTATCTTCTTGGTTACTTTATTATTTGATTTATGGTCTGAAATGTCTTTTCATTTCTTATATACACATTTATCTCTACTTGCACATAGTACAACGTAAATGAGGCATTTCGCTTATACAGTCATATTCCCTTGAATCCATGTCCAAATTATGTAGATCCAAATCAGCGATGCCATAGCAAACTGCTGGATCTTTCCTCAAACAACACTTTTGGTGCTGGTAGTGATGACTGAAGAAAAGGCAATGCTACAAGTGGCCCATCCCGGTTCTCTCCCCAGATGATCTCCAGGTGGGTGCGCTGAAGTTGGCAGAGGGAGCTGATCGGCTCACAGTGAAGTAAAACAGGGTTTGAAGGTCCACCTCTAATCTATACGCAGCTACGGGACCCTGGACAAGTTTCATAGCCCCACTGGGTCTTAATTTTCTTATTTGTAATTTGAGATGGTTGGACTAGATGTGGTAAAATTCTGTGACACTCTTTATCAAATTCCTTTTTCTATTGCACGAGCCTCTAGAAGACATTTGGCTAATTAGGAACTAAAATTAGATTGAACTATAACTAGCTTCACAGCAAAGTTTCAGCCACATTCCCGGTGCTTAACCGGCATCAGTCTCAGGTTCACTATGGATCGTGTTGCCGGGGTCAGCTCAGAAGGAATTACAAGACAAGCCTTTCCTTGCCTGGCTTTTTCTAAGGGCACACATTTACTATATTTATAGAAGCGTGTTAGAAAGAGGATAAATCGAATATATTTACAATATGAAGTATAATAACACATGTTAGAAGATCTACTCAGATTTCCCTTGGAGTTGCCCCCGTGGAATGATGTGAAGGAAGCCGCGTCACAGGCACTCAGCCTGGCAGGAGTGACTTTGCCCAGCAGCCCTGCGGATACAGGGAAGCAAGACTGACCTGCACGTTCGCGTGGACGGACCCAGGCACCTGATACTTCAGCTCATGGGCTGTCGTGTGAGACTTCGGAAGCAGAAATGGATAAGAAAGGGACCGATATTTTGATTTCATAATCTAAAACGAATAAAAACAGGTAAAAGGCTCAAATGAGAAAACAGTTCCACTCTTCCACATCATGTGATTATAAAAGAAATAGGAAAACAATATTAACAGTGGATGTTTCCAGGTGAAGAGGCCCATAGATTATTTCTGTTTTCCTTCTACTTCCCAGAGATGGAGAATCCCTTTTTTCCTTCTTTTACCTTTTGTAGTAAGAATATATTCTTTATATTTTTAAAGAAGCATAAATGTAGTTATCAGAGCTACAGAATTGCAAAAATGAGGCTGTTCTCTTGTCAACTGATTTTTTACTATGTTGCTTTAGCAACATAGCACTATGCATCATTTAAAATTAACTCCAGGGTAAAATGCTATAAAAATCATAATTTCTTTAATAAATTACTGTTAAAGAGCATTTCAGTTATTTATCATTTTATTTAACTTGTTGGAAACAATGTAAAAGTAAATTAGTTTATTGGATCACTTCTTTAACTTAAATACCTGAAAAAATTTTCTGAATCAAAGGTTGTATGTCTTTTAAAAAGCTTTTTGGTGTTATACAAATTTATTCTCAGAAACAGGGTATAAGAACATCAAAAATCCAAAACCCAGTTGCAAGTATTAGCAATTAAATAAAAAAACCTTTACTTGTCTGGTAGTTTAAAGGTAGTATCACTTTGTTTATTCATTCATGTCTCCTAAGTTTTTATTAAAGATACATCCATTACTTCTAAAAGCTCCCACTGCTCATAATGCTACATAAATGAAAAATAAGGTGAGACTCTAGATGTTGATAAAACTAGTCTTTTTCCAAATCATTGGGAAGAATAATGATTGCCTCATCATCATTTAAAGGAAATAAAATGGAACCTTAGTAACACCTGGGCGACAAATACTTATAAATGTGAGGTCAAATTCCTAAGAGGCACACAATCGGGGGGAAAAGGTGGCCAGGTCATCCCACCCTGCTCACTTTGCTCAGAACCGCCTCTCCAAGATGAACCCGTGCCATGCCAGGATCAGGAGGACTTGAAAGTTTGATCTCTCCCATCCAAGAAAGAACCCCATCCCCCTACAGCAGTCCTCCAGGCGACTGACTATCAGCCCCGGGCAGAAGCTCAGTCAATACTGAGCATCCAAGATGTTAAAAGGGTTAAACCATTGGTCCTGATAGTAGCACCTTTCCTTCTGTGCTTTAAATGATCTGTACGATGAAAGTTCAAGACCATTTCTTTTACACAGAAGCCCAGGTGCTCTGACAGCCAGGCCCCCAACAGCAGGTGAAGAGCACAGCTATGGCCGCTGCAGCCCCTTCTTGCCAACCCTCTAGGTGTCTCCTCCTCCCGGCCTGCCCCTGTTCATGTGGACTGAATCATGATAAAACGATCCGTGTACCTTTGTGAAGTTCCAGCGCTGGATGAAGTGACGTGCCACATCACGAGCTGCCTTCCCATGGACCACAGAGGCGATATCATGCCATGGCATCCGTGGGGTGGAGTACCTGTCAATGAAATCTGCCCAGGTGCACCAGGCAAAAATCACCGCTAACTTCTGTGCCAGAGACAGAAGCCATCTGAACCCAGAGCTGAGCCCAGCAAAGGAAACATAGTAATGTCCACTATGTGCATATTCCTTGGCTTGGGTGGAACAATACCTCCATAGCCAAGTGAAATGCAGATCTCATGTTGCGATCATCTCCACGCACCTCCCCAAATACGTTTCATTTCACTCAGTGTTATACAATCACCAGACAAGGGAAGATGTGAGTTGGTACAAATTATCTAAGGCTGTGTACTCGTATTACATTTTTCTTTTTTATCTCGTAGAAATAATGCCAGGCTACGTATGCAGTGCCATCTCTATTTCCTCTTAGACAGAGGAGCACAGTGCTAACCTAACATGTGTCACTTTTAACGATGAAGAATGAAGATGAGCAGAAGGGGAGATGATCAAAGGGAAGGTACCATTTTTTGGAGAATGACAGATTATTACCCTCAAAATATGCTTATATACAACCTGGAGGTTTCAAACAAGTAAGCTCTATTTTACGTTTTTTTTTCTTACTATAACTATAAGCAGTCCTTCATTATATGACTGAATCACAGTCTCCAAAGTTTTACCAAATATTCAAGGGAAAACTAGACATTAGATCATGCTCTTGCGTACTTGCTGAGATGTTGACAAGTAAGCAGACAGAACATAAGCAGCCACCCACTTTCACAGTACTCACCAGCAAAAGGTTTATCGAGTTGAACCCAGTCTTTGAAGACGAAGTTGCAGTAGTCCTTTCCATGCCAGAAGCGGGTTTCCCCGTGGAGCTCTCCCACGCCTGTCTGCAAACTGCGGATGGAGTCGGTGTCTGTGAACACAGCAAGACCCGCTCAGAGACTGTGGTTCAGGCGGGCTCCAGGGCGGAGGCTCAACTCTCATCTATGAAACACCTAGACTTAACTTTCCTTCTTAAGATTCCTAACTAGGGAAGTATATGTCTCTTCCATCTGAGGCTGTGGGCTGACAGGGTTTTATAGCCCTTAAGTTTGTTAATAGTGGGCAGCTGGGGCTATAACCAGGTTTGCCATCTGGCAGTGAAATATAACGTTCTTGGGTTTACTGTCCACCAGAGCACTGGAAGAAAGCTCTGGGTCAGGTAGGGAAACGTGAGATGCTGTGGATATTAAGAAGTCATGCCCTTTTCTTTCCTCAGTCAGTATGGCAGACACCTAACGTGTCATTCGTGTCTTTTGCATCTCAAAAAGCAAGAACATCAAATTTTCAAACAGCCCACATTTCAGCCCTGGAATTAACCAGCTAAATGACACTGAACTTCACCACTTTGGTCAGAAGTCCTTTATGTGTAAAACGAAGAATTTGGCCTACATGAGATCTAAGATCTTTCGGGCTCCAGTATTCTATATCCCTGAAATCATAAACGACAACCATAAAAATCACAACAGAGAGAAGCTTATGACTATACATGCACAAAGGCAGCCATCTACTGCGACATTTCACAAAGAGCTTTGCCAGGACAATTTTACTTGGGGGTAAATATGTTGACTTAAATTGTTTGTATGTTTATGGGCTATATTGACCATAGAGACAACTCAAGCAGGAAGACTAGCAGAACTACAAAACAGAGAGGCAACACTTTGCACAAAAGAAACACTTAGCAAATAGACACTGGATGTAAAAATGTTCATTGAATGAATAAATAATACCACGTACAGGAGCCAGTGAGAGACCTGAACTGGTCCCCCTACCATCATAACTGTCCCAGAACTGTCTTTTTAAAATGCAGACTCCTTGCTTAAAAGCCTCCTGCGAGGGGATCAAATCCTAAGGCCTTAGAGTGCAGAGAAGTCTCTTCCCAAACTGAGGCCAGTCTCCCTCTCTCTGGTCTTTGCTTTTCCCCGTATAGCTGAGGCCCCACGCGCATCACATTCCTCACAGCATTTTGACAGGCCCACTCTGTCATGTCTCTGTACAAGTGGCACATTATTCCTTCTTCCTAGAATGCTCTTCCCTCATTCTCAGCCTGACCTCATCATCCTTCAAGAGCCACAGAGCTGTCACATGCCCCAGAGACCCCCCTCCCCCAGATCCTAGTAGGGACAGGCAATCACTTGCTGTGCTGCAGAACCATTAATATTTGCACTCGCAGGGCCTTCTGTAATGCAATTGTGTAAGGATGCTCCCTCCCTACCCCCCACTCATCTAGAAGCTCCTCAGGGGTGGGGAGGGCCTTCCCTCACTGTCTGGTGAGGGAAGGTCCTGGTGGGTAGGTCCTGGCACTCAGTAGGCAATCCATAAGTATTTGCAGAGCAAAAGTTTTTAAGGAATCACCCCACACACTGCTAATATTCTATCTCAAACAGAATAATTAACCGTCAAAGGTTATCAAAATATCCTATAAAAGAAAAATGTCTTAAAGTGGTAAAGATCAACAAAACTGAATAATGTTAAAAATAGAATTCTATTGACCTCTCCCAATGATTTATGTTCCTGCTCTCTATGAGAGGCCAAAGTACTGCCAGGTCTGTTTGCGCACCTATAGGTTCTTTATAGAAAACGTAGCACTTGTAGAAAGAAAAGATAAGATAATGAGAGAGAGAGAGAGAGAAAGAGAGAGAGGGAGGGAGGGAGGGAGGGAGGGAGAAAGACAGGAAGGAAGGAAGGAAGGAAGGAGGAAGGAAGGAGGAGGAAGGAAGGAGGAGGAAGGGAAGGAGGGTGGGAAGGGAGGAGGGAGGGAGGAAGGGAAAGAGATAAATAAGAAGAAAAATGCCAAATTTAAAAAAAACACAAGCAAATAAAATTTGTTTTTATAAGTTGAGAAACTCTAAGCTAAAGTTTTACATATATACACCTACACTTGTTTAAAAATTAACTTTCACCTAACAACCAGTTATTATAAGGAAAACAAATGCAAGAAAATCCTTAGTCTCCAAACATTGTCTTGGTGCTGACTGAATTCAAACTACTTATTATTCAAATTTGTTTTCCTTTTCAGTCATGGCCTAAATGATTCCAAATTAATCAGGGTCCTCTTAGAACAAATGAACTATTAAGGCAAAAGAGCCAAATACCCTCGTTACTGTGATTAGAGCTCAGAATTGCATGAGCATCGATGAACAGGAAGGCAGGACTCTCTACACCAGCAACGCTCCCCTTAGGGGTTCTCATTAGTCTGTATCTGGCTCCCAGCTGATTTCATAATTGCACTCGCCTTGCCTTTCAGCACAGGTTTTTCATGCCAGTTCTCTGCAATCCTCATCCATCAGTGCCTCAGACTCTGGCTGCCAAGGTTCAGGGAAAGAAGTCTTCCTGCCTCTCATCCAGTGTCTTCTGGCTTTGCCATGCCCCACCCCTACCCCCCTTTTTCTCTCATCTCTTGGCTTCCGAGGCCGCATTCCCCTACCATTACTCTAGCCCACCCTCCTGATCTTTCCCAGCTCCTCCTCCCAGACAAGGTTTTCCCACGTTCTCCTAAATGTACCCTCCAGCCCCGCTTCTCTTCCAGGCTGCAGAACTACAGCTCACTTCCAGTGCCTCACTTGACCTTGTCTACCTAGTTGTCTCACCAGACCTTTGAAATCACAAGTGACACTGGAATTGTTATCATCCCCATGAAATCAAGTCCTCCCTCAAGATTTCTGTTTTCTGCTCATAGTTACGTTCAAACCCCAGAATCACTTTTGGCTCCTCTCTCTTCTTTACTGTCTTCTCCACCCACCTCCCCATCACCACTTCCCAAATTAAAATTCTCTGGATTCCTCCTTTGGAAAAAGTTTGTCCCATTCACTTCATTCTTGGGCCCACTGGAGCAAGCTAGTCAGATTCCCACTGTCTCCAGCATGACTCAGTAAAACACCACCCTTATCTCCCCTACCCACCACCCCACTCCCCATCCCCTCCAAAGCTTATGTCTGAAATACATACTTTTGACATCTCCCATATCTGTCTTAAGGAATAACATCTACCTGAAATGCCTGTTTTTCTCCCTTCATAGTCTCTACCTACTGAATGTCTACCTATATTCAAGGCCAGTTCCAAAACAGGTCCTCAATGAGTTACAGTTTTTAAAAAAAATCTTTTGGTTTTTGAAACTTTTTGGATTTTGGAATTGTGGGACAATTTTTGTCCATAAGGGCATTTCCCCCTGATGAATTACTCAGGCACTAGGTTAGTGAAATATTTAAAACTGAAGCTTACCTATTAGATAGTAAGCTCTTTAGCAGCAGAAAATACGTCTCATACATCTATATCGATGTATCCCTGAGAGCAGAGTCTGAAACAACCCTCTATTGATTATCCCCTATGATTAGATATCTGCATTTGAAACGTGGACACAAAAACAGCCACACACGAACCATGACAAGCTGAGAGGAGGACTGCCTGGTGGCCTTAAAAACCCAGAGACCGAGAGTGACCATATCACCTGGTCTGAAATGAACACTTTCTAACTAAAAGCGAGTCATGCCAAGTAGTCACGTCCTAGGCCTGTATCTTCTTGGACAAAGGCCAGTCTTTACCTTCACTGTGTCTGTCTGTGTTTTTTTGCATCTGTAACAACATACCTTTGGAATGTCAGAGGAATCTGCTTTTATACAGACCCCTCAGGGCACAGTGTCCTCTGCCAGAGCACGAGACCACACACCATCTCTATGGGCTGTAAAGGATAATTAACTGTCCCATACCACCCATGGAAAAGACCTATTTGTTACTTCATTTCACTGTTCATCCAATCTGAGATTTCCCCACTTCGCTTTCTTTCACCTCCCTAAGCTGTCATGGATGAACTGTATGTAACTCTCCTTCTGCCTCCTCTTGCTTGTCATGTATAAATGACACTGCAAAACTGCCATTCTCTGGAACATTTCCTCAATCCATTGAGATTTTGCTTCCTGGCAACTGTTGTCAGTTTGGCTCAGATAAACTCATAAAAATTTTCTACAGGCTTGGATGTTTCTTATGTTGACAGAAACACCTGTCTCAATTTAATAGTGAAAATGATTTCCCCTCTCAGCCATCTATTTAATCCTGCTTAAAAGAAAAAGTGTCAACAGTCACTGAATAGGAGTGAAATTCATTCCTTTTTAAACAACAAAGTGTCCATCGAAGGAATGTCAATTGGAAATTCTCCCTCTTGCACTATAGTTTTGAAAGAAAAAATATCCTTAAGATGGCTGAGTGATTTTGAATGAAAATATATACATGAATCAACCATGGTCACCACACGTATTTAAGATCCACTGACTGTAGTGCAGTGTTTCTACTTAGAAGCTCACGGCCATCTTGCAGGCACACTCCAAGCGCCTCCCGTAACGTTTGCTGGGAGCCCAGTTCATCCCGGCCTTGGCCTAGTGTGTTTAAGGGAGCTGACGCTGCAGGAAGCTGCCGTGGTCCAGAGCCTCAGGGAAGCAAGTTATCGACTCAGCAAAACTCAGTTTCTAATTTTTAATGAAGAATTACTCTATGCTTAATTTGGGTTTCACGTCCTATAAAACAGCCTAGGTTTAAGTCATTCTATGACTTAAATGTAGACCTGTGCTCTTTAAACTCCATTTATTATAATAGTAAAAACTTACTTTTCTTTTTCAGTGAGGATTCACACGGAGCTCCAATACACAGAACAATACAAGCAGGACTGTGCTGGTTGCATCAGGTACCACCAGAGGCAGGGGAGACCGGGGTCCACCTGCTCAGTGTCCCCCTCAGAACCCTTGAGAAACACCAGGGGCCGAGGAAGAGGCTTTGCAAAGCCCTGCTCTAGAAGGACTCAACTACCCTTTGGCTCCCTTTTTACATAAAATCAGTTTTTATATTAAAAAATTACATTTGTAATTTAACATGGTTAATGGAAAGAGTTCTTCCCATCTCTCACATCCCCCCTGCAGCGCGTCAGCAAATGCCATAAGCTCCACCCCCAGATGTGGTGCTCACTGCCAGCCCAGTCACAGCTCGCCATCCAGGTCTGCTCCGGAGAATGAGCCGTAAAAATATGTCGGCCTTTGCTCATCCTTTGTTCATCCTTTGTTCAAGGCCTTCCGATGACTTTCCATTTCACTCCAAGTAAAAGCCAAAATCCTCACAAGGGCTGCAAGACCCTGTATGATCCACCCATCCGCTCTCTCTCCCAGTCCATGCCTGGAACACACTGATCCCATGCCCCCCACCCCCACCACCCTTGTGCACTTACTGTTCCTTCCAGCTGGGACCCCTCCCCCAGGACCTTCTCTCATCCTCATTCTTCTCTTCCTTTTCATCTCTGTGGAAAACTCGCCTCATTAGGGAAGCACTTTCTGACCGCTGGATATAAAATAGGAACTCCTCCCCTGTCCTATTCTGTTGTTCTCCATAATTCTTACCACCTGATATACTGTGTTTAATGAGCTATTTATATATACAATTCCCATCCTTAACCTCCCACTAGTTAACTGAATTCCATCCGTTTTGTTAATGAGATCCCTAGTACCCAGAACAATGACTGGTATTTATAGGAGCTAAGTACTTATTTAATGAAACAAATGAACAATATTCCTTTATTTTTATACCCCCACTCACAGTTTTGAATGAGAGCAACATTCCGAGGGGATGAAACACTTGGGACGTCCTTCACCATTCCCTACTCTTGGATATTTAGGTTGTCTACTTTCTCTTCCTTAATAAAACAATGCCGCACTGGACGTGTATCCCCTTTATCAGGGAGGAGGTTTCCCTCAGCACCTGGAAACCACCCACGGGGGTGTTCTCAGACCACGCAGGTATCAGCTTGCTCGGCCTGCCCTGGGCCAGAGTTATGTAACGTACTCAGCACCTGGCTTGTATCTGCTTTTCCACTCGCCCCATCCTGCTGTCTGCAACATGGCCACTCAGGCGTGACTCAGGTCCCTCCATTTCAAGGTTCGGCAGCCACGGTCCTCCATCTTGTTTTTAACTTTAGTCCTAACGCAGCAAAGCCACGCATGGAATTGCAAATCACTACCTGGACCGGTTTCCAACTCTTGACCTTTCATATCTGTCCCTGCAGTCACCCCTGACTTGGCTCTTTGGATTTCCCAGAGGCCACCACCCCTCCCTGACCTTGGGGCTTTGAAGCTCTGTCAAGCACACGAATTACTGAGCGTCACCCCTGAGCCCACATACGCATCAAGTACTAGCTTTGTGCTAAATAAATGAAATGTCTCCTCACATACAGTTTTCTCCATTTTAAATGTATATCAATGTTACTATTTACAATATCAGGTTTATTTAACAATGACATTGGAGCTTTCGTTCACTAACTACAATCAGTTTTAAAAACGCAGGGTCCCCAGACTACTAGATTCTGCCACCACAAGTGGCTACATCCAGCCATGTCAGCTGGGCTCTGGCTGTCATCTCCCGAACAGCACACTAGAACCAAAGGGCACGGTGCACCCTGCGTCTCTGCTGCCCCACAGCTCTGAACCACGGGTTCTGGGAAGCTGACGAACAGCAACTTCACTGCGCAAGTCACTTACCACCTCTGAAATGAGTCACCTCGTCTGCAAAGAGGAGCTGATTCTATTACTACCAAGCACCCCGAGTGCTTGGGGCAGTGACCCGCAGAGGGTCTGCATGCCATAAACACTGGCTTGAGATTTTACGGTGGTTATTTATTATTATGACTACTAGTCCCTGTTCTGATCCACTGCCAATCCTCTTCATTCCCACCACCACAAATTAGCCTGATTAATTTAGTCCTTAAGTATGTGGTTTTTCTTACAAAAGGTTATCAAATTACAATTTCTAAAAATTCACCTTTAGAGCATATCACCTCCACTCAACGACCTTCAAGACTTGGAACTGAATAAAGGTCCATCTCCTTTATTTATGTTGGCGAGTCCAAATGTGACAGCTGCGCATCTTCCTAGTCTTATGTCACAGGCTGCACCTCAACTGAATGATGTATTTTCTAACACTTAGAAGCACTCGGTGCTTTCCCATTCCAGCACCTTTGCTCGCCTCTTCTCCTTCACCTGCAATGGCTTCCTGTCCTCACCTATGCAATCACAGTACTTCCAAACCTAAATCCAGCATCCCTTCTTCAAGAACACCTTTCTGGATCATCACAGAGAAGTTCTCCCACCTTCCACGGTACTTCTAAAACACCCCCGAACTGCAGGTGCATGCGCTGTACCCTTGTTAGGTTATGTTTTATCTCAGTGCTGGGGTGTAGGTTCTTGGGGAATAGGGGTCTTGGGTACTTCCCCATGCTTTGCTCTCAATATACGTGGCATGAAAACTGTAGGAACAGAAAGACAATCCAGAAACACACTCACTCTGCTCATGCAGCACAAGCTGAAGCCTAAGCAGGTTCCACTGCTTCGCACATCACTTACCCATGTCAGGTCTAGTGAGCCCTTGCTCAGAACCACTGGAAGAGCGAAAGAGTTTCAAGTGGGGCTTTAAACCATGGATTAAATTCTGACGACTTCTACAGTGATTACAATAACCTGGAGAAAGTTGAGAGTTCTTTTTTTTACAAAGATATAAATGTATATTGGGTTTTCTAAACCAGAAAGCACGTTTGATCATTCTTAAAGCTAGGCAAGGCTATAAAAGCAGTCACAAGTTCGGGGCAACAGAAAATTGCAGGGCTTTAAAACAGATTTAAAAGGAATAGTATATTAATAAGATGTAAAAAATCTGACATTTTGGGATAAACACTTGATAGATTTCAGGATGGGAAGAGAAAATTTCTTCTCTAAAAAATTTATAAAGTATCCCTAACACTTTTCTTTTTCCTTTATAACTTGGCATTATTTTATAAATGCTGAGTCATTCTGCTACCATCAGAGGCATGAATTGTGGTTGTTATGACAACCTGTGTGAATAAAACAATAAATCTGTCCTAAAAAGAGGCCAGCAAAGCCATGAGATGTCATGGTGTTGAGCCAGGTGATCTAGTGACCTTTCAGCACAGATCAGTTTACTCCATTATGGAAAGACAGGCTCTAACACCAGGTCTACAGTGTCCGCTATGGAGGAACAGGGCCTGGTCAAGACCAACTCTAGCAGAGACGATGACTTACTGGAGGCGCTGTCGATGCTGCTGATGCTGTCCGCGCTGTGCAGGTGCTGCCTGTGGAGCTGCCTGTAGAGGCTGAATTTGGAGAACTTTTTGGGCTTTCCTATGCCTTTCAGTTTTGAATCCATATCATCAACACTCTTCAGGATGGGCACATTTTTAGAATTATTTTTATCTTTGAGGCTTAAGGACTCCATAGACCCTGTTGTTTCAGCCTGAGAAAATTATTAAGAAAAGATACTGCATCAGATACACTGCATCGTGGCCCTTTAATTCCATTCAGGTGAGGTGTGAAGTGGACACATGGTGAAAGCTTCTACGAGACACACAATAATGTGTGAGGTCAGCCACACGGCAGTGGAGATCCTTGGTAACTGTGTAAATACTACCAAAGGCATTCCAGGTGTTCCATTGTACTTCTTCTTTCAGGTGAAATTCTTAAAATTTCATTCCAAGTAATCTTTTTATCACAAATACAATCACATAAGTTATATTCACTATTGAGTTACTGAACTTCTTCTTCTGCTAAACATTAAGTAAGCAATGCTTTCTGTCAATTATTCTCCCTATTACCAATTACTAAATTTCTATCCCTTGCCCCCAAATCACCAACATATCCAGCAGTAAAACAGGATGGAGCCCATCAAATTTTTAAATAAGTGTACTGATATTTTGGCAACCACTTGAGTTGAAATCATAAATATATAGATATATTTTGGCAGCTCTTGGCTTGAAGGTAGTTTGAGAAGTTATCAACCTCCTGCTTTCAAATAGAATTATCTATCCTCTTTTCATATGCCTTTGAGTAGGAAGATTCCAAAAACATTGGCAGTTACCTGTAGTAAGGCAACTTATTTAACTTAAAGCTCATTTGCCACACATTTTTGTTTATAAACTTTTTCCAACTAGTGAATAAATCTTTAACTTAAATGGGTAAAAAAAAGGAGCTGACTATGAGATTGCAAATGCTCCACTGAATCTGTTTTCTTTTCTTACAAGAGAAGAAACAGACTACAATGCAGAGTTACAGACCTGCCAGGTGGTATTTGAAACCAGGTCTGTCCACATCTGACTCAACGTTCTTTACTCCTCCAGGGTTACACCACCACTCATGCAGTCAGTCAGCCCGTCACACTCTAGTATATTTACACAAACTGTGTCCCTAGGATGCCATTCTGCACAGGTGAAATCACTTACTGTGAGGGCAGCCAGACACGGCCCCGTGGTGACGCGCTTCACGCTGCCCACATCCGTGAGTCTGTGCTCGTTGTCATCCCACCTGCCATAGGCCAGGTCGATCCCACCCACGAAGGCCACCGACTGGTCGATAATGACAAGTTTCTCATGATGAGCCCACAGATACACACTGGACGACACATGGTCTGGGTGTCTCATCACCTTGACAGGAAAAAATGCATATGGAAGGTGCTTTTTAAACATCCCTCGTGCTATAATAAACTAGGTCTGTTTTCTCCCCCCAGTAGCATTTTCTATCATTCAAATACCAAAATGGACTCTGCATACAACACAGATAATTCCCGAACTTCTAATTTTACTCCCAGTGTTTAACAGAGGAAGAATCCTAATTACTTTTTAAAACTCCCACCCTCACCCACACCACATTTAGGGCAACTGCCATTTAGCTTGAAGTTTGGTCACATATTTCAATAAAAGTCAACTCAGTGAAATAGCTGATTCCCTTTTCCCTCAAAAAGGATTATATCTGGTACTATTAAAAAACACTCTAAAATTTTAACTAACATCCATCTCTGGCAAAATTTTTATAACTATATTCATCTTTTGGCAGTCACTGAGTTGAAATAGTAAGCATATGATACAGATATTTTGGCAGCTCTTGATTTGAGAGTCACTTTGATGTTTCCTGCCTTGAATGATTGCACACTGACATACCCTATCTCTGTATGTCTTTAAGTAGAAACTTTTCCAAAAGTTTGCAGAGTAATTTTTAAAGTGACATTTTTAATTATAGAAAAATACATATAACATTAAATCTGCCATAGTAACTATTTTTAGGTGTACAGTTCAGTGGTATTAAGTTCATTCACACTGTGCAATTGTCACCACCACCCGTCTCCACAACTCTTCATTCTGCAAAACCAAGCCTCCGTACCCACTAAACATTAGCTCCCCACACCCTCTCCCCTCAAATGCTGGCAGCTGCACTTCCACTTTCTGTCTCTATGAATTTGATAACTCTAGGCATCTTATAAATGGGATCATATATTTGTCTTTTTTGTTACTAGCTTATTTCACTTAGAATAATGTCTTCAAGGTTCATCCATGTTTTAGCATACATCAGAATTTCCTTCCTTCCTAAGACTGAATAATATTCCATTCTCTATACATATCAACACATTATTGGGAGGAGGATGTTAAAGTGTCCAACTATTACTATAGAACTTGTCTATTTTACCCTTTAATTTTGTCAGTGTTTGCTGTATATATTTTAGTCATCATTATTAGTACAGAAATGCTTATAATTGTTATATCTTCTTTCTGCTTTGAACCTTTCATTAATATATAATGTCCTTCTTTGTCTATTATTATCTTTTTTTTATTAAAAGTCTGTTTTGTCTTATATTAGTATTGCCGCTCCTGCTCTCTTTTGCTTACTATTGACGTGGAATATCTTTTTTTGTAGCCAAGTGAAATATGCAATTTTAATATACTTTAAGCCTGCTGGAGATGTATTGATTCATTGTCTAGATATGTCTCAATGACTAGCCAATATCTATTCATAGTCTTTAGGTCCTTGTTAAAATAACGAATAGCTTTTTTCATATTGCTTCTTGTGCTTATTCACTGTATTAGTCTTTCATACAAGGTGTTATTAGGAAAAGCACAGTGCGCCCTGGAGGAGCTCTCCTTGTCGCCATCAGCAGTTAAGGGGTGCCGCACGGGGGTCACGTCTAGGAGGTCCCAGGCTCATCTTAATGAGGAGAGTGGAATCATGCCTCAAATCAAGCCTCAAATACTAAAACAGCCTCAGAAGTGTGCTTTTGATTAAATAGCAAGGGTAAGAGAAGTGGATATATCAACTCTGCTGACTCCGTCAATAGAAGTATAAAAAAGTATAGTATTTTCTTCTATTTCTGAGAAGGACACAATGCTCTTGATTCCAAATATACATTAGGTATTCTACACATTACCAAACTATACCTGAATACATATAGAGCAAACTATACCTGAAAAACTACAGAATAATAAATAAGAAACCTTGTTCCACAAGATGAACCCAAATACCTTTATGTTGGGGTGTAGACGCATTAAAGTCCTCTTGCTGTATTCACTGTTGATTCCAAGTGCAAGTTCCACCTCTTTGTAGAGCATTATGAAAATCCTCACCCCCTCTTGCTGCCACAAGAGAAAGCACAGGGAAGAATGAGAATTTCTGCAGGTAAGTTATGGTTTTCTTTTTCTTCTTCCTTTCTATACATTGTACTTCCTAAAAGTTCTTCTATAAACAAAGCCCTGGCTGGCGTAGCTCAGTGGATTGAGCACGGGCTGGGAACCAAAGTGTCCCAGGTTCGATTCCCAGCCAGGGTACATTCCTGGGTTGCAGGCCATAATCCCCAGCAACAGCACATTGATGTTTCTCTCTCTCTCTCTATCTCCCTCCCTTCCCTCCCTAAAAATAAATAAATAAAATCTTAAAAAAAAAAAAAAAAACTGAAAACCAGGCCTGGCTGGCATAGCTCAGTGAATTGAGCATGGGCTGCGAACCAAAGTGTCGCAGGTTCGATTCTCAGTCAGGGTACATGCCTGGGTTGCAGGCCATGACCCCCAGCAACCACACATCGATGTTTCTCTCTCTCTCCCTCTCCCCCTCCCCTCTCTAAAAATAAATAAATAAAATCTTAAAAAAAAGTTCTTCTATAAACAAACAATAAAATACTCACTAAACATAATACAAGGAAGTGAAACATAAATGTATATGTATTAAGGCACAAACCTCAAAAATAAAATTTATCTCCCTTCTGTTCCTCCAATTTGACATGCCAAGACAGTGTCAATATTTGATTAATTACAGCCAGAAGGCTGAAATTATAACCACAACTCCTAAAAGTGTCTGATAGTCTTACACTCATGAACATTCTCAAACACTTGTCATTGAGAAAGCTTTGACTGGATTTATGTCACCAATTTAGTGTTTTTTGTTTGTATTTATTATACTTCAATTATTGAAGTGATTACAAAACTGATGTAGTAAGTTAAAATAAATATCACTTAATGTTCTTGGGGTATGTTTCATAAAACTTTTCTCTTTTTAAATAAAGTATTTAAATGGAAAAAAATTCTAAATCTTCAGAAGATAAATATGTTGGTTCATACTCTTAATCTATAACTAAATCATTAACGTCTATTTTATCAGTAAAATTACTTCAGAAGTCAGCCTTTCCAATATCCCAAAATTGTTGAGTTTTAGCAGCCTCACACAAGTTAACAGTGATCCATCATGAGTATTATCCAGGTACTCCAAATTTGTGGGTTCGGTCCCCCGTTAGGGCACATAAAAGAATCAACCAATGAATGCTCAAATAAGTAGAATAACAAAAATCAATGTCTCTCTCTCACTCCCTCCCCCCCACCAATTCAATTTAAAACAAAACAAAACACTGATCCACCCTTAGATCTTGGACCTAAAAGGAAATAGACAAGACCATTGTGAGGGTCAAATCAAAAGTGTCTAGTAAACTTTATAATCCTATTAAGTAACATTTATAATTAATATTAACCATCAAAAAGACAATGCTCAACAGCTGGTAGTAAAAGAAGTACTAGTATTTTCTTATCTAGTTCTGAGTGGTGACAGGTTTTATAGTCTGTGCTAGACTGTCCCATCCTGAATGTACCTCCCCTTCTCCAAGTCCATTCGGATGGTTCCCCACCAACGTACTCTTGTCTGGGTTACCCCTACTTGTATTACATTTTAGCTTTGCACCCTCAGTGTTGCTGTGATGTTTGCAGCATTTAAACTCATATTTTCTATACCCAGCAGCTCTGAAAGCATTCTGAAACATACTGTATATGCATTGCCTAATGAATCTACCTCCACGTAGGCACTTAATATCCCAGAAATTAAAGGGAAGAACTTTTTCATAATACTTTCTAAAGTACTGGAGCTGTAGGCATATCTAATAAATTATAGTAACAAAGAATTATTTAAATTTTTTAAGAATAATCCATGACAATTAGACATTGTTCATAATGAAAGTTTGAGTAACAAATCTTTACTGGGTTGAAAACATCTAATTTTTCACCTAGAAATGGGAAATAACATAAGAGTTAATATTTTAGTTTGCAAGATATAAAAATTTAGAGTGAACCAAATACATATGCAATTCCCCAATATTGCTCTGCCCGTACTAAGAAGCATTATTTTGATCTTTAAAGCCTTATAATAACACATAACTTCAAAATACTAACACTCTGTATTTCTTGATATTAGTAATATCTAAGAAGAGTATACATTTTTGAAGGGACACACTGGATTTACATTCTGGGCTACATTAAGAAAATGTGAGTACTAGAAGACCTACTCTTGCACTAAAAAAAGTAGGAGAAGAAATATATATATATATACACACACACACACACACACACACACATACACACACAGACACACACACATATTTATGTCATTCTATTTGTCTGGGTAACAGTTGACTTTTGGAACTTGCTCATTATTTATTATAACTATATAATTATTACTTGAGTAAAGAGACAAGGAAGTGAAAGTGTAGACAAGAAGTAAACAGTTTAATGTCTACTTGTCTGGCTAGTGAGTGCTCTTCAATAAACCACTGATTGAGGGTTCTAAATGAAAGGCAGAACATTATTTTACTTTTCTCCTATCTTTTCAGCTTCACTTTGCTATTTGAATATTTAGGATTCAGCACTGAGTAACAGTTACCAACAAGGAGCCTCCCACTGAAAGATATAACATAAAGTTTAAAATCAAAATTTTCATCCCAAATTATCGTACATTACAACGGAAATCTCTCATCACAGTTCATTTGTTTTAAATGGATGAAATTCTACTTCTTAGGCATATGACATTATTACTCACTCATAAGAGAAGCATATGTAACTTAGAAACTGGCCTGAATCTTACAATTTTCCATTTACCTGCACAACTAATGGATTTTGAAATAGTAGAGACGTTAATGCTAATGGTTTATATCATTGCCCTCCGTCTATTAGACCTGACATTTTCTCCTATGCTGTGTCTTTAACCATTGGAATAAGTTAACTCTAGAGGAAACAGGGTAGAGACTCAGTCTTCTTAGCTTAAATACAAATGACTAACAAGGAAATAATTAAATATAAAAAGTTCATTTTTACACAGTCTGGTTTACAATTATTTACTCATATCCATATCCACATTGGTAGTACCACTTATCTCTAAGGTTAATTAGTGACAAGACTTCTGTGATAATGAAGCAATAAACTCCTCTTCTTTTGGTCAAGGTATTGCAATAGTATCATAAACTAAACTATATAGGGCAAAGGAAAAAATTGTTCCTGGGAAACAAAGGCATTTCCTGGGTCATAATAGTGAAGAATTACATAACTGTGGGAAACAGTTATGCAAAATGAAAGCCAAATGAGAAAGAAAATGAGAGGACTGATATTAATTCTGTAATTTTAAAAAAATATACTTTTGAAACAGCCCATGCTTTACCAATGCCCTTTAGTTACTCTGGGAGAAATTACTTTTGCTTGGCGGGTGGTGGGCGGGGGGGAATATCGATACAGGAAGTAGGAAAATGAAGGGCCTAGACTGGATTATGCAATGCCACTTTTCATTTCCCTACCGAAGTCAACTAAACTGAAGTGTCCGCAGGGTAAGCTTCATCAAACCTGAGTTTTCAAAGACAGAGGTTCTATCTTCTTTTATAGTTTGCTTTTAATCAGGTAGAACAGACACAATACTATAAACAGTAGGACTTTTTAAGAGTTTTACATATACATCAGATATGTGAAGACAAGATAAATATAAAAATTTTCATAGTTGAAATTAAGAGACTTTGTTTCTGAGTCAGCTTTTTTTCTGATTGTTCAAAGTCCTGTGGTCAAAATATTTTCTAGATACACCCAGCTCTGTCCACTGCTCGAAGAGCTTAGCTTACACATCCACGGGATACTCACTAATTTTTACCACTTGTCAAGGACTTCCCCAGGGGGTGCAAAATTTTAGGAAAAGGAAAAGTACAGAATGAAAAAGAATCGTATCCTCACCACTGAAACGCAGGCAGCACTGGGATGTAAAAGCACAAATTGCTTCTGAAACTTTTTTAAACCAGTTTTGTCTAAAGGACAGTCCTTGAGTTTGAACGTCTCCTCTCCCCTTCCCTGCAGTGCCCTTCTAGGCCACCACTTGGATCAGATTCCCTTTGACTTTCATGGACAGAGATGTGATGATTCATCTCATTTGACAGACCCTTCTCTCCCACTGCTCATGAATGCCACTCTAGAACGTGTCCCGTGGGAGTCCAGGGCAGTAAGAAAGTAACCTGATGACAGAAGCCCCCCAAGGGCCTAAACCTTCTTCTGTAAATCTCCAGGTTGCTCTACTTGAAGATTCCTTTCGGCACAAGTCCCATCAGGAGTATCAAGTGTCTCTAAGGCTGAACTATATTCTCACCTCAGCACAGTAGACGCAGAACTGTGGGAAACCCCGGGATGCTGACCTGAATTGTCAGCACTCTGCCTCCCAAGGCTGGCTAATACTATTTTAAATAATGATAGGGCATATCAGGAGACCGAAGAGACAGGAAAATATCAACTTGGTTATTATAGAGAAACAAAATGTATTTTTGCCCCAAGAAACAGCTATTATAAGAGGTGTTTGCCTACATGCTAGCTATGAAGCAGAAATGCTAAATTCCTTCCCCCAAATCTGCATGATCAGACAGAAGAAAAAAGTCATTTTCTGGGACTCTTTAATGCACGAATAAATGCTATCATCAACCCATTACTTTGTGGAGTTAGTGGCTTTCAGAAACAAGATTGTTTATGGGAAATAGTATTCATGAGTGTATGAAATGTCAATTTGGAATGATCGGACTGCTAAAAATTTATGACTAAAATAATAATTTGTTGTAGCTAGATTAAAGAAGTGCAATTCTGCTAAATGTACCACTGAGGAATTAATATTTAATAGTATTACTATTTCCTTTGGAACTTAAAAAAATCGTTATCCAGAATTTAAAAATGACAAGTTTCAGAGGCTGATAAAATGAAAATGAAGACCCTTATCAAGCAATAATAATTACTGAGTCATGGTGTTCTCCTGGAACCTCATCAGGGCAGTAAGAGTGAAGAGAAGCTAGGCTTGTGATAGAAGAGGCGCCTGGACAGGCACACGGAGCGGGACAAACAAATGCGTGCTGGCCAACAGAAGGAGCAGGGCTAGGTGTGCAGGATGCTCCTCCTGAGCCCCGTTCCAGCATCCACTGACTGGCTTTCTGCAGTTTACTTACGCATGCATCTCACACTCAAGTGACCTAAAATTTAGCTCTCTGACTCTGAGTTCTTCCTACTTCCTCCTACTACTGGATCCACCCTCCCACACATAATTTTGATCAGATCGTCTTTCATCCATCACACCAGCTGCCCCGATAGATGCCTACTGTATTCCATAAAGTGTAAGCCACTGGCTTGGGTCATCACCCCTCCACACCCTAGCTGCAGCCTGCCCGTCCAGCTTTATCTGTCTTCTCACCTATGCTAATGCTCAGGTGTAATCAATCTCAACCTTACAAAGCCTTCTGAATTCCTGCTTCCAGAATGTCTCCTCACCACATTTCCTGCATCTGAAAACAACTTATTTTTAAAATTTTTGCTCATCCTAAAAGCCCTAAAATCCCTCATGTTGTGAGGGGTTCCCCACCAGGCCTACCCAATGCGCTCCCTCCTGTCTTTGAATCTTGGCTCTCTCTGTACCCAATTGACTCTTGTATCATTTTCTAAGCTCCTTCAGGTCAAGAATCATGTTTCTTATTTATGTCCATGTTCATATGATTAGCCAAGTGCTCTGCACATACTAGGCATTCAGCAAACACATGTTGATTGAAACCTAAAACAGTAAAGTGTTAGATAAGTACTATAAGGAGAGGATTTACTAGTATCACTGACTAATGGAGAAAGTTCTATATAAGTATAGAAATAAGTTTGATAATCCGAGGACTGAGCCCAGAACACGGGCAGCCAGCCTTCCATCAGCAGCCTTCCTTTGGCAAGCCTCCCATGGGCAGAGATGGAATCCTATTCACACACACAGGTTTCCCTAGAAATTAGTATGGTGCCTGGCTCAGAAGAGACACTCTGTAGCTGTATGATGAATTATGTAATGAATATACAAATAATGCTTGTCAAAACTGGAATTCCCAATTGTGTGAAGAGACTTCTGTTGAGACAATGAATTAGACTAGCCATGAAAATGATGCTATGTGGAAAGACACGTGTCTGAAATAAAGACTGCCAACTTTGGCTTTCAATATTAGCACTAAGGTCTGATTATATTATGAATAGTTGTGAAAGTCCTCAAGTGAAAACATGGAGAAAAAATATTGAAGGAAGAGGAAAAGGTGAGTGAGGAAAGAAGTAGGGAAACATAAATGATGAGGAAACAACAAATGAGCGAAGGCTGTGAGAAATAGAAAAATGCTACCCCTGATTACTCAGGATCTTTTTCAAAAAGATTAACAGAGTTTCAAATAATAGTAAAAGAGCTAGCACTCCCCAATTTGAACACGATTAATAATAAATCCAGATCTATTCTAATTCAACTTAATTTAACTTGTTTGATGGCCAACTACATGAAAAATTTCATTAGAAATATGAATGTAAAGTAGTCGTTGGTGATCCTATACTGACTCAGTTATTTACTTTTTATAGCAAAAGGAGCACACACAGGGCTCACCCAGAATCAACAGGGTCAACTGCACAGGAAACAACTGCACGTCATTCCCAGGATCTGTGCCCAAAATGAGCTAAAACAGCACCAATTTTTAATGTCCCTCCTCTTTAACATTCTTCAACATCAGCTTGGCCTCATCTGACTGAAACCTCAGATGACTTTGTCCTTTGCTCAAATAACAGAATAATAAATAAAATGTGATGCAATGTTTCACTTCATTATTTATTATTCAATAACAAAATTTTATTACAAGTTTTTGCCTATAAAATTAACTGCCCATAAATGATTAAGGAACAAAAATTAAAATTGCTAATAAAATCCATGTGTGAATTAGGCTAAAATATTATGCACTTAAGAGTAACAGGGGGAAAATTGGAACTAAATAAACCTGAAAAGAATAAGTATTCTACTTTCTTTGTTAAACTCTAAAGAAAAAAATTTTAAGTATATATGAAGGACTTTTAAAAAGAAAGGGCATTTCAGAGGCAATAAAACATTTAAGAAATTCCTTCAGCATTTGTTTGGAAAGTACATACTGCTTTCCAACTTGGCAGGTGTAGCTCAGCGGATTGAGGGCGGGCCTCTGAACCAAAGGATTGCCGGTTTGATTCCCAGTTAGGGCACGCGCCTGGATTGCAGGCCAGGTCCACAGTAGGGGGTGCACAAGAGGCAACCATACACTGATGTTTCTCTCCCTCTCTTTCTCCTTCCCTTCCCCTCTCTTTAAAAATAAATATTTTTTCAAAAAAGTACATACAGCTTTTCGTTTAAGAATGCAGTCCAACCTCCAACGATTTCCTTCAACCACTGGGCGTTTCAGGAAGATTTCTGGACTCAACCTGAAATCACAAAATTTAAGTAAATAAAACAATATATAAAGTTCTGAGTGTGTCACAGAAGCAAAGACAATTTTAGCCCAAATGCCACCATCATCCCTCACTGTGGTAGGTCATCCTAACAAGACCACATACAAGTTCATATGGGAACAAGAGCCTTTACGCATAAAAAAAGTCACTCTAGATTTCCCTACATATCTTACTCACACATACACACATACACACATATGCAGCCACCATTGGTTGCCCAGCCAGTAGCCATCCCCCCCTTCTTTTTCCTTGCTCCCACTATCTCATATAAATATTCTACATACTTGCTCCCCCGGCTCCTCTGCAGCTAGGGCACAATGTGACATAATCCTGGACAATCAGACATATCAGGTGGTACATGTGGGGTTAATGGGAAAGTCTTTCCCCTTTAGTGAGAGAGAGACACACACATTCACTCAAAACAGGAAAAAGAAGCTTTTGGATGGATGTCGCTTGGGGCTATGATGCTCTGACAGGGGCGGCCATAGTGAAATTCTAAGGGGAAGGCCAGATCTGTGAAATCACTAGACCACTCCACCAACCTTAGGATTGCCTAACTTTGGAGCTCTCATTAAGTGAGACAAATAAATCCTCATTATTTAACCCACCTTTAGATAAGCATTTTATTAACCCAAGCCAAAAGTGTTCTCTCGGATAAACATAAATGCTGACTTTCTATACCAAGGAGCAGTGTCCCGGAAATCTGGATCTTTCTGAGCAGAAAAGAGAAGGCAGTTTCGCTGATAAAATGTTTCCAATGTGATAATAAACCCCTTGGCTATTCTTTTTAGTAATGCCACAGTACAGTAGGGTCACTTTTTCCCTTCGGATTGAGTTGTAAAGTCAGTGTCTGAGTTAAATCTATATATATAAGGCCTGCAGATATTAAGGTCATAGTAAATGGATAATAAAAGAATATTATAAATAATGTTGTATGAATAGATATGATAATTTAGATAAAATGAACAATTTCCATAAAAAAGAGTTATCAAAGTGGAAACTTAAAAAAATTAAGGCTCTAACCTTATAGCTAATAAAAAATTTAGTTCATAATTTAAAACTTTCCCATAAAAAATCTACATACTTCAATAAGTTTATAGAAACATTCTATAAAATATGTAAGAAAGAAATAATATCAATCCTACCCAAACTCATTCAGGAAACAGACAAGGGGAACATTTACTAATATGATGAGGCCAGCATTATTCCAATGTCAAAACAAACAAAAACAATTCAAGAAAAGAAAAAAATTAAGATCCATATCTTTATGATCATAGAGGTAAAAATCTTTAACAAAACTCCACAGTTTAGAAAAAGGACAATAGATCATGAGAAAGTGGGGTTGCCCTAAGAAAGCAAGGTTTGGTTAAAAGCTGAAAATCAATCAATGAAATTCATCACATTAACAGAAAAAAAGGTTACTTTAATAAATGCAGCTATAGTCTTGACAAATTTTACTACCCATTCACAATAAAAACCCTTCATAAAATACAAGTGGAAAAAATTTCCTCAAAGTAATAAAAGGTGCCTATGAAAACTCTACCTAAAGCATACTAATGAAAGACTGAAGTGTTTTTGTCCTAAGGCAAAGATGTCCATTCTTACCACTACTCTTCAACATTTTACTGATGATCCTAGCCAAAGTAATAAAATAAAATAATAAAATAAAAAATAAATAAAATAAAATAAAATCATGAATGAGAAAGGAAAAAGTAAAATTGTCATTATTCACATATCACATGATCATCTATGGAGAAAATCTTAAGGTATCTATTTCTATGTATCTATATCTACATATATTTTAAAAGCTGCTAGCACTAACAAGTAAATTAAGCAAGACTGCAGCATTTAAGCTCAATATTAAAAAATCAATTGTATTTCTATATGCCAGAACTGAACAATTGAAACATAAATTTTTAAAAATACTATTTGCAATAATATCAGTGGGAAATTTAACAAAATGTGTGAAAGACATGTACACAGTACAAAACACCGCTGAGAAAAGTTAAATGAGATCTAAACAGAGAGCTATACAGTACTCATGAACTAGAAGACACAATCTTGAGGAAGAACAGTATTTGACATACCACCTAACCAGTGGTGATTTTTAACTTTCTTTTTTTTCTCTTCTGATTCCTCGGCCTGGAAGAAGATCCTGGAAAAGGTGGAAAACTCCAGGAGAAGTCCTTTAGTTCAGGCTTGAGGAGAAAGAGTGGGATATTCTAGCAGTGGCAGGGGTGGCAGCAAGGGGCTCAAAGACTCCAAAAACTCGGAGGGAGTGAAACTTTCCTCCCCAATGGGAAAAGCTATGTTTCCAAGAAGACAATGTAAATATCCACTGCTTGACTCTGGACACAAGTGTCATGGCAGAAAGTCTGTGGCAGAGCAAGGTAAACAAAGCCCCACCTTTCTAGCTGGTGGTCTAAAAAGAGAAGCCGCAGGGAACCCCAAAATAACAGGAGGTTTATGGAGAGGGAGGTGCTCAGAAAGCAGCCCTATAAATTTTTTATGACTTGTAGCTTACTTCCATGTTGTGTGTGCATGAATTTGATCCTACATACAGGGTGGGACAAAAGTAGGCTTATAGTTGTGAGTCTGCAAAACAGAGTTTATTCTTGTATTACTATTTGTTAATTATTGCATGTTTTCCATACTAACAACTGTAAACCTAACTTTGTTCCACCCTGTCTTACGAGAGTTTCAGAAATGAAATAAGAAATAGACCACTGCCCATACTGGTCACTAGGTGGAGCACATGGGGAGACAAAAACTGAACAAAATCTCAAAGGCTTTGAAAACAAAAGGCTTAAAAACACACAGATACTAGTCATCTGTATGTCCTCTTTGGAGAAATGTCTATTCATGTCTTTTGCTTATTTTTAAATTAGATTGTTTGTGTTTTTTAGTGTTGAATTGTGTAAGTTCTTTATATATTTTGGATATTAACTTTTTATCAGATGTATCATTGGTAAATATGTTCTCCCATTCAATGGGTGTATTTCATTTTGTTGATGGTTTCCTTTGCTGTGCAAACTCTTTTTAGTTTGATGTAGTCCCAAGTGTTTATTTTTCCTTGTGCTTCACTTGGCTGAGGAGATATACAAGAAAAAAATATTGCTATGAGAAATGTCTGAGACTTTACTACCTATGTGTTTGTTATTCTATAACTTTTGTGGTTTTGAGTCTTACATTTAAATCTTTATTTTAAGTTTACTCCCATGTATGGTGTAAGAAGGTGATCTAGTTTATTTGTTTTTGCATGGATCTAATTTTCCCAACACCATTTCTTGAATAGACTACTTTACCCCATTCTTTGTTCTTGCCTCCTTTGCGGAATATTAATTGACCATAAAGGCATGGGTTTATTTCTGGGCTCTCTACTCTGTTCCATTGATCTATGTATCTGTTTTTATGCCAGTACCATGCTGTTTTGATTACTATGGCCTCATAGTATAGTTTGATATCAGGTAGTGTGATTCCTCCAACTTTGTTGTTCTTTCTCAAGATGGCTGTGGCTATTCAGGGTCCTTTTGGTTCCATATAAATTTTTGAAATATTAGTTCTAGTTCTGTGAAATATGCCATTGGTATCTTCATAGAAATTGCATTGAATTCCATTGATTGCTTTGGGTGATATGGATGTTTTAATGATGTTAATTCTTCCTACCCATGAACACAGTATATACTTCCACTTATTTATATCTTCTTCAATTTCTTCCTTCAGTGTTTTATAATTTTCTGAGTATAGGTCTTTTACCACCTATGTTAAATTTATTACAAGGTATTTTTTATGCAATTGTAAATGGGATTGTTTTCTTAGTTTCCCTTTCAGATAGTTTATTATGGTATATAAAAATACTACTGATTTCTAGATATTTATTTTAATTCCTGTCACTTTAATGAATTCATTGATTAGTTTTTCATAGTTTTTTGATGGAATCTTTAGGGCTGTCTATATACAGTAGCATGTCATCTGCAAATAATGACAGTTTTACTTCTGCCTTTCCAACTGAGGTGCCTTTTATTTCTTTTTACCTCATTGCCATGGCTAGGGCTTCTAGTACTATGTTGAATGAGAGTGGTGAAAGTGGACAACCCTGTCTTGCTCCTGATCTTAAAAGGAACACTTTTAGATTTTGCCTGTTGATTACGATGTTGGCTATGGGTTTATCATATATGGCCTTTCATATGCTGATGTATGTTCCCTCTGTTCCCACTTTTCTGAGAGTTTTTAACATAAATGGGTGCTAGATTTTATCAAATACTTTTTCTGCATCTATTGATACAACCATGTAATTTTTATCCTTCATGTTGTTTTTGTAGTGTTTATTGTTTATTTATTTATTGTTTATTGTTTGTTTGTTTATTGTTTTGTGGTATTTGTTGTTTATTTATTGTTTAAACAACCATGTTTATTAATTTACTGATATTGTACCAACCTTGCATCCCAGGAATAAAGCCCCTTGATCACGCATGGTATATGATCTTTTCAATGTACACATATTATGGGATCTGGTTTCCTAGTATTTTGTTGAGTCTTTTAGCATGTATGTTCATCAGGGATATTGGCCTATAATTTTCTAGCCTTGTAGTGTCTTTTATCTGGTTTTAGAATTAGGATAATATTGGCCTCATAAAATGAGCTTGGGAGACTTCCTTCCCCTTGAATTTTTGGGAACAGTTTGAAGATAGGTGTTAGTTCTCCTTTGAAAGTTTGGTAAAACTCATATGTGAACCATTCGAGGTAGGACTTTTGTTCGTTGGGAGTTTTTTTATTACTTCTCCAATTTCATTAGCTGTAATAAGTCTATTCAGATTTTCTGATCCTTCTTGATTCAGTTTTGGAAGATAACTATTTATCTAGGAATTTATTTCATCCAGATTGTCCAATTTGTTGGCATATCATTGTTTGAACTTTATCTTACAATCTCTTGTATTTCTGTGGAATCGGTTGTTACTTCTAACTTTCATTTCTGATTTCATTTATTCAGGTCTTTTCTTCTCTTGATGAGTCTGATTAAAGGTTTGTCAATCTTATTTATCTTTTCAGAGAACCTACCCTTGGTTTTATTAATTTTCTGTATTGTTTTTATATGCTTCATTTTGTTTATTTCTCCTCTGATCTTTACTATTTTCTTTCTTCTACTCCCCTTGGGCTTTACTATTCTTTTTCTAGATCTTTTATGGGTACAGTTAAATTGTTTATTTGAGATTTTTCTTGTTTCTGGCAGTAGGCCTGTAATGCTTTAAATTTCCCTTTTAGGACTGCTTTCACTGTGTCTCACAGATTTTGGGTCATTGTGGTTCACTTTCTCTTGTCTCAAGGGAACTTTTGCTTTCTTCCTTGATCTCACTGCTAACCCATTTATTGTTTAGTAACATGTTATTTAGCCTCCATGTCTGTTTGTTTTCAGTTTTTTTTCTTGTGATTGATTTCTAATTTCATAGCATTATGGTCAAAGAAGATGTTTGATATGATTTCAATTTTCTTAAATTTATTGAGACTTGTTTTGTGTCCTACCATGTGGTCTATCCTAGAAAATGTACCATGTGCACTTGAAAAGAATGCATATTCTGCTGCTTTGGGGTAAAATGCTCTGAAGATATCAATTAAATCCATCTGATCTAGTCTGTCATTTAAGGCTGCTGTTTCCTTGTTGATTTTTCTGTCTGAAAGGTCTATCCATTGATGTCAATGGTGTGTTAAAATCTCCTACCAAGACTGTGTTACTGATGTTACTCTCTCTGTATGTCCATCAAGATTTGCTTTATATAAATATTGCCTTTGGTGAGAACTAAAATAATAATAATATTATTACTATTATTATTTTAAAAAAGAAGTTCAGTGCAATCCCAAACATGATAAACTCAAACATTATAATCAAACTGCTAAAAACTAAAAATAGAGAAATAACTTCAAAAAGAATAAGACAATCCAGTAAAAAGAGGAGAAAAATATTTAAACATGTTTCTGAAAAAGTGAAACCAATGTCCAAAAGTCACAGGAAAATATGTTTAACACAAGATATTGCAAATGCAAATTAAAACTATAATGAGATATGACTACACACCCTTTGGGATGACTAACATAAAAAAAAAAAGACAGACAATACCAAGTGCTAGAAGTGATGAAGGAACTGGAACTCTTGGCATTACTGGTGGGACTCTAAATTGGTACAAACACTTTGAAAAACACATCAACCATTTCTTAAAAAGTTTACCATACACTTTAATTCTTAACATAATATAGTAACTTAAATCTACTTTTTAAGAAGGATTGGCAAACTATGGTCCATACACTAAATATGACCTATAGCCTATTTGGTTCATGAGCTAAGACTGGTTGTTACATTTTAAAGGGTTATAAGACACACACAAAGAAGAACATGCATCAGAGACTGTTGTGACATGAAAAGTCTAAAATCTACTAATCAGAATCACCATCATCAAGAGAAAAGCTGAGCTTAATCATGCTCTTCAGATCTGTCCTAAGTTACAGCAATTCAGCAATGGAGCTGGAAGCCACATCTAGATCTCCTACCTCATTACACAACTTACTCCAGTGACTACTGGATAGTTAGTTCACAGGTAACTTGAAACAGCACCAAGTACAGGAACAACATAAATACATGTACTTCTGGTGGTTCCAGATAAACAAGTGAAGAATGCTCACTCATATTTATGTAAAAACTTTATCTTTTCGTACCTCAAACATCTAGCTAGATTTTACTATTCACCTGAATTTTCAGATAGTCTGGATTGTTTAAGAAATTGCCCTGGCTTGTGTGGCACAATGGATTGAGTGCCAACCTGCAAACCAAAGGGTCACTAGTTCAATTCCCAGTCAGGGCACATGCCTGGGTTGCAGTCCAGGTCCCCAGTGCAAAGGCACGTGACAGGCAACCACACATTGATATTTCTGTCCCTCTCTTTCTCCCTCCCTTCCCCTCTTTCTAAAAATTAATAAATAAGATCTTATAAAAATCATTCTCTCTTCCACCTTACAGCCTTACCTTAGAATTTACCTCTTCAAAAAATTTCACCTAAATCTACCCAAATCTGATTACTATTTTATCTAGCACCTTAAAAAATTTCAGTCTTTGCTTAAACAATCTCATGGCTAACAGAAACCTGAGACACCAGACATTACAGCCAGTTCCTCTGAGAAGCAGCTCCGAGATATGCGGGCTCTGGAGCAGACGCACCTGGATCCAACCGACTGGGTGACTGGGCAGTTTCCTAGTCTGCCTCATTGACTCTTACTTTTCTCCTCTATAACACAGTCCTGGTGTCTAGTAAGAATTCAACACATAGTAGCTGTTATTATTAATGACCCTCAACTATGCCTTAGAAACTACCCGTAGAAAGATTAACATGACTCATGCCACGTAAGTCAGGCCCCTGTGGTGGTCTCTGCAGAGACCCTTACCATTTTGTTCCTGTACTACAACAATGGCTTACTAAACAGTCTCTATAACCACTGTTCAATTCATCTTCTGTACTATTACCAGAGTAATCCTTTTTAGCAAACAGATTTGATTAAAACTCCCATGCTTAAACAAATAAAACAAACAACCTCGCCCTGGCTGGGTAGCTCAGTTGGTTAGACCATCAACCTGATACTCCAAGGTTGCATGTTCAATTCCAGGTCAGGGCACGTACAAGACAAAAGCAATGAATGCACTGATGAGTGCAACAACAGACTGATGTTTCTCTTTCTCTGCCCCCCTTCTCCCTCTCCATCTCTAAAAAAATAAAAACTAAAAATAAAAAACAAACTCATACACACAGACAACACAACAGAATGCAATATGATGGTCACTGCCCCTCCACGCCTTCTACTATATTAATCCTCATCACTGAGCTTTCCCCGATCCATTGTTTTATGTATGACTTCCTGACTCTGTGTTGTTCCAGAGTAGGAGCTGCTTCTCACTCATTTTTATATGCACATGGCATGGTTCACTACTTGTCACAGAATGGGGGCTTACTAAATAGCCCTGGAGTAAATGAGTGAATAAATTAACAAATGAATGGATAGGTGGTAAAATTAATGAACAAAAGAACTAAGTGCTTCTAGGTCCCAGGTTGTTTCTCATTTCACCATGTCTGCTTTTGCTTGCATAATAATTGTTTTAGAAATATATTAATACCATTTTCACTTAAGTGTGTGATGTCTCTTGAATTAGCCATTTCTACAGGGCATGTGTATTCTCTAACTATGCTTATCACTCTCTCAGATATAGACATAACAGGGTTGGAATAAGTTTCTGAATGCTCCCTTTTGCAATACGTGCATGACAAGAATTTTCTTCACTTGTTATGAGGGAAGTTACTGCAAAGGTTTTGTTTCAAAGGGAGTGTTGTAATAAGATGTTATCTCAGAGCAGTTATGAAAAAGAAATAACCTCTTGATTCATTTTTTTTTCACAGTAGAAAACATTTAGGTTCCATTTCTTCAGACGTTTAAATCTGAGTCTGCATTTTTTAGTGTGTCCACAACCTTCAGAAGAGATACTATTTTCTTGCATAAAACATGACAACATGGGCTCAATGTAAAAGCTATTTTCAGTCTCTTTCATCAAACTTTCAGAAATATTTTTTCAAGGAATATAGTATGACATTAAACTTGAATGTATTCTCATAAGCATTTAGAAAGTATTCAACCAAAGAAATAGCTCCTAAATAGGAGACTTTATTTTATTTCTGGTAACTGACTAAAGAGAAAAAACTTGGCAAGACTATAAAGGCCAAGAGTAAGCTCCTCCATCAACATGACAACAAATAGATTTGCAGATGTGCTAACCATCACATACCTCACTTAATCACCCTAGATCAATGATTCTCAACACAGAGGAACTTCAGCTCCCAGGGGACAGATGGCAATGTCTGAAGACATTGGGGTTATCACTACTGGGACCTCGCTATAGGCATCTAGTAGGTAAAGGCCAGGCGTATTGATGGTGCTAAATATTCTGCAATGCACAGACTCCACAACTAAGAATTATCTGGCTCCAAACAGCAGTAGTGCCCAAGTTGCAAAAACACACCATAGAATTAGAGTTTCACATCACTGAGGGAAAAGGTGGAGAGAAATGTGTTAATAACTTTCCCTTCCCCACAAAATCTAGAATTAGGAGGAAATAAATTATGATGATATTTCCACAGTTCATATAGAAGGTAGCATTTGGAAGGAAACATGACAGGGAAAAATAGGGGCATTTCAAACAACTTAGATTAGAAGGAAAATTCACTTTAAATATTTTCATTTCCAGGATAGTCAATGTTGGCATCTGCAATCATTTTTAACTGTCTAGGCAGGTGGGTAACTGGAACTAAAGTCAGACTACAAAGCCTACACCAACTCCAGGAGTAAAACTTCCCAGTAGCTAAATGAGTTTTAGATATGAGACTTCCAATGTCTTTAATAAGCATCATAACTCTCATGGATGTTCTTAAAGGGGGTCAGAAAGTTGAAACCTGAAAAACTGACCAGGCTAGTCATTAACAAGGATATTTTAACAGTAATGGGTAAATGGAATTATTTCAATTTCAAAGGGATAATTTGGAAGAATTATATTTACTGGACCTGATGACAGACATACCAAAATGAAGGAACACCGCCCCAGGAAGATTATTTTCCACTATCTCTACAACTATATTTGCACTGAAATGTAAGGCTTACAAAAATGAATACTGCGTGTCTGCTTCCAAACAGAAAGACGAATACAAAATTATTCAAGTTAAATATTTTAAGAATATACTTGGATGCCAAGTATTTGAAAAGACCTTTCACTGGAGGCCACTAGAGTTAATTGGTTGAGACTCTGGCCAAACCATCTGTGATACTGCTGGTTTTCGTAACGTGTGATTCTGAAACAGCACAACCAACACTGTTGTACATTCCTGAACACAGAGACCTCTAAACACAGTTCCCATGGACCAATACTGACCACCAATCCGTGATAAAAATCTCTTCTTTCGCCTCTTCCATCGCATTTGCAACATCTTCAAAATATCCTTTGGAGTTAACATACCTGAAAGACATGTTTTTTTCTTTTTGTTTTTACAAAAATTAAAAAGAAAAAGACAGACAAAGATGGCAGCCACTGCCAAGAGTTTCAGTGCAACCACCAATTTATTTTTGTGAATGGAAAACAAGGACTGAGACTACCATCTGCTATATAGACAGTAGAGTAAATAGAAATAAGCAACCTGCTTCTTTTCTGCTGAGAGAACAACACATTGATTGATGTCATTATCATATGGGGTCAAGAGAAGTCTCCCATCCCCTTGAAGTCTTCTAAGATTTAAAACAGAGTGGAAAAAAAATCAGCAGAAAATCATGCTTAGCATGTTTTTCTACCAATTACCAATTCATGGTTAGAAAATCATGCTTAGTGTGATTTTACTCAAAAGAAATATTCAGCAAGTAAATTCTTTTTCTTAAATTATGACTAATGAGTTCAAGAAATCTTCCATTTGCATCATCAAGAAAATTCATAAAGTTAGTTTTTAAAATCAAACTTCAAAATCTTAACTTAGCTATCTAAATAAAGCTCATTGGAAAATTAATCAATGCTCAGGTAGTCCTATAAAGAAAGACTCTTAACAAGTATAATGCATTACATCTTTTCACAGCTTTGAAAACTGAAAAGGTGAATTAGATGCTCTGACTACCCTGACAGTCTTAGAGCAAAAAGATCTTACCATTTAGCTAAAGTGTTCTCCTGGACAGCAGCATACGACCCAAATCGGTGGTCTTTGAGAAAGTTGGTGCCATGTTTCTGGACGAATTCTTCCATGGCGCCTGCCCACCACCGAGCATGTCTATAGCTGTTGCATTTTAAAATAAGTGTCCTTCAGAGAAAAGCAAAATGTGGAAAAGAATGGTCACTCTGTGTTTTGTCTCTTTAAACAAATTTAAGGATCAAGCATTCCCTGTTTTGTTTTGATACTGAGGACATAAGTTGAAAATTTAAGCAAACAGCATCTTATATCAAAAAAGCAGACTTCTAAAAAATTTTGGCAAGATTTTAAAATATAGTCAATGTAGCCAAAATAAATTTTCATGTTACTTATTCACTCATGCAAACACGTGTAAGAGCACTTACTATAGGCCTGGGGCTGTGCTGGGCTTTAAGGAGGATGACAAAGAGGTATAAGGTGAGGTAGGTCCTATGCCTCAATGTCCCTTAGTTGTGGGCTCCTATAGGGGGCATTTCCCTTGGTGCTGCCTGACGTCCATTTCCTCAGTTCCGGAAACATCATGCTGATTGCACCTTAAAAGAGTAATTCCTTCCCAACTCTGAGTTCATGAAACCCACACAAAATGGCATGTTCCAGGCCCCTGATCACAAAGACTGGTTCAGAGATCTGATACAGGGACCCGTGAGAATTGTAGCCTGATTTCTACCGCCCTCCACAGAACAGAAATGCAGTGGCAGGAAGAAGGTTTAATGGCAGTACCTTTGCATTTCCAATAACCAATCCTGGACCTGGCAGAGGAAATAAGGAAGTTCCAAATCCTTCCTTCCACACACATACAAATGTGTATTGGCAAGTGTCTATCTATAACTCTATGCCAGTCAGTGTGAGTAAAGACAGAAATGTATATGTTCAATATATTCATATACATGAGGTTGAACTTTACAGAACCAAATGTATACAGAAAGACATATATATTATATATCTACAATCTTCCAGAAAAAAAATATATATCAACACACACGCTCACTAATAAAATCTATAGTACATGTACACTTGAGTATCCTTGCAAGGTATCTTTCTTAAAATCTGTGTGTAAGCAGAATTTTTCTAAATCAAATCACATTTTAAGTGTTTTTTAAAGTATATCAGTTCATAAAGTAAAATTTTACTTTTTTAAAATGTGAACTACCATTCTTTATCTGTTTGGAAAAATGGTATTGAGTGGTCAACTTTGTTAAAACGGACATGTATCAACACAGGATAGTTTACTCTGATGCCTACACATAAGATATGTTATTGTTAAAAATTTATTACAAGGAAAAAGTAGTTTCATTACTTTTGATTAAGGATAAGTTCTAAATAAACATTTTCAAACATTTATATTATTTTACATCCTTTGTTTAAGGTTGGGAGAAAAAGTTTCTTTAAGAGATTTTGGTAAAATTATTTTTTACCAAAGAAAATATTTACTATTTCAAAAATATCTGAAATTTCTACCTTGAAAGGTTATCAATTCGGAGTCCATATTTTGTCTCTGTCTCCTTCTTCCCCACCTTAATTCTGAATTCTTTATCCACAAGCAGGACGAAGGCTATAGCACCGCTGTCTGGTTTCATATACAGTAAAAAGGAATCTTTCACTATCAACCACCTGGGAAAAGATAAGGAGCATTTTTGAAGTTGTACTGAATTACTGAAACAAAAAGAACAAATTATATGACAAATCTAAAGTAAACACACTGTCAGAGAGTAGACAATTTTATTTTTTACATGGGAGATTTATTTTTAGAAAAGCATTATAAAACAAAAAAATCCAAACCCTTCCTATTATGTTTTTCTAAGAAGTACTGTCACCGAGCAATTCAAAATAATTCATTAGCTTTTTAAACATTAAGGGCAAAGCCTGGAGAAAACCCCTGAAAACAGCAGGCAGTGCTCATGAGATGTACACCGGGGCCCAGCAGTTGGCAGAATGGAATGGGCTGGTGTTTGCTAAAACAAACCGTTATAGAAGAAGCAAACAGTAAGTATATTCTCAGTTTGTTTTAAAATAAAAAGAAAACACCAAGGTGTTTCTTGAATAAGGGAATCCTCATGCCCTGCCAAGGCAATAGCACAGTAATATCATTAGCACTATGTTTCATAAAGAAAGGAATGAAGGAGAAAGAAGCATGGACTGAGGCAGGTTAGCAAGCTACTGTAATAATAAAGAACAGCTCTTCTTACTCTTGGCTGTGGATATGCATCACCTGGGGATCCTGTCAAAATATGCAGATTCGGATTCAGTAGGTCTGGGGCAGAGCCTGAGATTCTGCATTTCTAACACGCTCAGAGGGGTTGCCTACGTTAGGATCACTTTGAATAGTAAGGATGTAGATGGCAGGCACAACCCTGAGAGTGGTAAGAGCAAGACAGAGAGGATGGGACTGATGTCAAGTAAAAACAAATGGCAACTTTGTCCTGCCGCACGTGACACCATATACGCATATTTACCTGCAGTTGTGGAGTGATCAAAGGATTCAGTTGATAACTAAATAAAGTAACAACAGGCATATTACATCACACATTAGGCAAAGTAAAGCACATTATGGGATAAACAAGGCCAGAACAACCTGCACATAAATTAAGTAATATTATAAATGTCACATGGAGACTCAGAATTTAAAAGAAATCTATAAGAAACTTTTACTGAAATTGCTAACCACATTATGTTTTAGTAGCTTTATAATTTGGGATTTAATGTGGACAAGTCTACATGGATTTCCACACAGTTCATTTCATCCATGTGTTTTTTAATGCATGGGCCGTCTCCCTCTCAATAAAAGGGAATGGGATGGACCGAGAATAACTTACAGTAAAGAACATGCATGTGATATTGTTTTACACAGGAAAGATTTAAAGTCACAGAAAGCAAATAACTAACCACAGTGCTAATGTAATGACGGCAATGGCACACCAATGTGGGTCTGGGCTTCCCAGCTTCTCTGGTCAAATGCGTAAGTTAAAGAAATAAGAGGTCTCACACCCAGTAAGCTAAATTCCAAAGGAAGTCTCTTATTTGGGAGCTAACACAGGCAACTCCAAGGTATAAAGGATAATATTCACAATAATTTTCAGCAAATGCAGGAATTATACATTTTATAAGAATTTTGAAAATACTGCTCAATATGAATGACATGGCCATTCTATCAAATGGTAACTCAGTGACTCTGATGGCCATGACTGAGTTATCAGTCCAGACATGGGGCTGCCTATTGACAAAACTTGGTTAAGGCTAAATGAGAGTAGATGGGTCACATATCTGGAAAAGTTCCTTTTCTAGTTGCTGTCCCTTCTCTCAGCTTGACTTTGATGCAAGCTAGAGAACAGACATGTGGCAGAGTCCCAGAGACCTGGTTTACTATGCTGCTGACTGGGAAGGAGCCACAGGCTTTGAAAACACAGACAGCAGGCAGGCTTGCCAATCTGACAAGAAAGTCAAACATACCAGGCTTGTGAACTTGCCTGCCTGGAAGTCAGGCAGGATACCTGAATGGCATCATAGCCAGTTCTGGCCAGAGCTTCACACCAGAGACAACAGTGTGGGGCCACAATAGAATGACCCATATCCGGGTGCACCAGCTCCCATTACAACACAGATCCCAGAAATGCTCCTGAGAGTGCAGGTCATGGCATAACCACCAGGGCCAAGAGCTGCAAAAGATGTTCTCGGGAACCGGCCACCCGGGGCCACCGTGCAGACATGCCCTCCAAAAGGATGCCTGCTGAAGGCAGACACTGGTGCAGGCTATGTCACCCTGCAGGAAGGGGCTGTTTTTCTCTAATTTGCACACCGGCTCCCAAAAGGCTACAAACAGCCCTGCTCAGTAACAGGAATGCAACGGCAGGGTGTACTGCATGGCCAGGGCACTGCTCAGCACAAGAGGGTGCCATTCATATGGTATCTAGGTGAGTGGTTCCTCCCTCGCCCCTCCAAGATGTGACAGCCTAGAAATATGGAATTAGTTAGTAGTGACAGATGAATTTTGAAAGCTAAACACAAAAGATAATAGCTTTTGTTTTGACATTGATGAGTTGTTCTTTCTAAACAGTCAACAGCTATCAGGGTAAACTGACTCTAAGACTTTATTTAGAGCTCTTCTTAGCTATACCATTCATTAAAACTCTTCTGATCTCTTCCCTTTCTCTCTTTTGTCACTAGATTTTCTTTTCTTTAATGAGAGGATATGCATCAAGAAAGAAATCCATCAACCAGTCTTTAGGGAGTCAGCACCGGCTGTGCAGAGATTAAGCACCTGCTTTCAAGTCAGCCTCCCTGGGCTCCAGCTCTGGCTCTGCCACCTGCCTGACTGTGAACTTGGGCAACTGAGCCTAAAGTCTAAATCTATAAAATGAGAGTAACAGCAATGCCAAGCTCCTACGTGTTTGTGCAGATTAACTGAGATGATTCATGTACATTGCTTAGCACAGTTCCAGACACCAATAAACTTGAACTTTTATGAATATTCCTGTTTTAAGTCAGGTGAAATTATGGTCTGTTCTAACAAGGTGCCTATGCTACTACTTGCTGTCACACAAAAATGCAGGCGGGAAGACATGGGCCAGCCATCACCTTCTCAGCTTCATCCCCCACTGTTCTCTCCCACCACCTTGGTCTGGCTGTTCCTCAGCCTGAGAATCTTGTTCTACTCTGGGCTTCTATATTCACTATTCTTCTGCCTAGAAATCGTTTCTTCCAGATCTTTCCATGGATAGTCCCTCCTTGTCAACCATCCCTCTGCTTAAATGTTTTGTAGACAGCATATATGTGGGTCTTGTTTTCTTATCCATTCTGCTACCCAATGTTTTTTGATTGCAGCATTTAAGAAATTTATATTTGAAGTGATTATTGATAGGTATATATTTACTGCCATTATTCTCTATAACTATGTCTTCTGCTTTTTAAAAAGATCTTTATTTATTTATATTTAGAGAGAGGGAAAGGGAGGGAGAAACAGAGGGGGAGAACCATCTATGTGACGGAGAAACATCAGTTGGATGCCTCTCGTATGCACCCCAACCAGGGACCAAACCCGCAACCCAGCCATGTGATCTGACCAGGAACCAAACCTGCAATCTTTTGCTTTGCAGGACAATACCCAACCAACTGAGCCACACCAGTCAGTGAGTTCCTCTGGGGTTTTTTTTTTTCTTTCTTTCTGTTTCTTCTTTTTCAAGAAGACCCTTTAACATTTCTTGTAATATTGGTTTGGTGGTAATAAATACCTTTAGCTTTTTCTTGTCTGCAAAGCTCTTTATTTCTCCTTCAACTTTAAATCACAGCCTTGGTGGGTAAAGAGTCTTGGTTGTAGCTCCTTGCTTTTTATCACATTGATATGTCAATCCCTTCTAGCCTGCAAAATTTCTATTGAGAAATCAGCTGACAGTCTTATGGGGGCTCCCTTGCAGGTTACTGTCTTTCTCTTGCTGATTTAAAAATTGTTTTTTTAACCTTTGCCATTTTAATTATGATGTGTGTTCATGTGGGCCTCTTTGGGTTCACGTTGTTTGAGACTTCCTGCACATCCTGGACTTGTGTGTCTTTTTATTTCACTAGTTTAGAGAGGCTTTTGGTCACTATTACTTCAAATAGGTTCACGATTCCTTGCTTTCTCTCTTCTCCTTCTGGTATCCCTATGATTCAGATGTTGTTATGCTTCATGCTGTCCCAGAGGTCCCTTAAACCATCCTCATTTTTTAAAGTTCTTTTTTCTTTTTGCTGTTCTGATTGGGTGTTTTCTGCTACTTTCTCTTCCAAGTTACTGATTTAATCCTCTGTTTAATCTAACCTACTGTTTATTCTTTCTGGTGTATTCTTCATTTCAGATATTGTATTCATTTCTGACTGATTCTTTTTAACGGTTTCTATGGCCCTTTTTATGTTTGTTATCTCTTGGTTGAAGCTCTCATTTTTATGTCTCACTATTCCTTCCAGTCTCAATGTAGCTTCTTCTGTAAATCCTTGGTTAAAAGACTTCTATTCAGCTAGCCTTCAGTTTTTTGTTCAGGTTGACTGTTCTATATTTTGGTTGCAATTCCAGTTTGGTCCCAAGAGGAGGTGAATGTAACATCTACCTAGTCCACTGCCACCTTGGATCTCCATTGTCCATGTTTTTTACTATAGCTATACAGTGGGTGTGAAGTTCTATTTCACTGTGATTTTGATTTACATTTCCCTAATGACTAGTAATTTCAAGCATGTTTCTTTGTGCCTATTGGCCCTCTGTATATGTTCTTTGGCTGACCAATTTTTCAGTACAATAGCCCACTTGGTTTTTATGTGTATAATTTGTACGCTCTGTCCACAAGTCCAGGTTTGAGAAAAATGTTTAAACAGATGATAAAACTTGGAACTTAAAATGATTTAAAACTTGCTCTGCTATGACTTTCAAAGGATTTATAATTTATAATTTAATTTAAACCTAGTATATAAAAACTTCCCAAATATCTACTTTTTAAAAACAAATACACAAAATCCCTAAGTCTTACCTTCTTGACCAGCGATAGCAGGCTCTTCCATGACCACAGCAATTCAAGCCAGGTATCCTATGTCCCCCGGATCTTTTCATTATCATGCCTTCTCTGAAAGAGACATCAAGTTAACCCATTACTTTCAAATTTCAAACTCTCTCTTAGCTGATACAGCCTTACAACTTGGGACTAAATTTATTACTTCATTCTCACATGACTTTCCTCCCCACTCTTTCTTCCTTCACCCTCAAATAGCTCCGTATCCTATTTGCTAGGCTAAGGACTCCAGCAGCTAACCTTTAAAGCACTCCGGTTGCAGCATAACTGTGTTTTATACACTGCAGGAACTTAAGTATCCTGGCTTCTGGCTCTAAATGCTGAGCATTCCCTCCAGTCATTGCAACAGCCTGAAAAAGTCCTCACACATTGCCTAATGCTGGCATGAGGATGGCTCAGCTGCTGTTCAAACATAGGAAGTGCTCTCCCACAGATTCCAAAGCATTTCTGCATTCATTCATGTACAGTTCTAGAACCAGACTATGCTAAAGGAAACAGAGCAAGGTTTTTAACTTTGGAAAGAGAAAGATCTTGATTTTGAAAGATGTAAAAAGAAAGAATAAAAATGGCTAAACAAATATTTCAGAACAACTACTAACAATGATCATTACTAAAAAATGTTAAGCTCTTTATCGTATCAAGCTCTCATATTTTGAAGGGAAATAATCATTAAGTAAATTTCAATCTTGTTACATAACATACATTTTACACAGTATTATTTTTACTCATGAAAATGAGCAAAGAAAAGCTAATTTGTATAAGTGATTAGAAGAAGGGACATATATTTGATTTGTAAAATTGAGATAAGTAACATGTAACATTATATTAATTTTAGGTATTCAACACAGTGATTCAATATTTGTATAATGTGAAGTGACAGATCACCACAAGTCTAGCTAACATCCATTGTTACAGTTATTTTTTTCTTGTGCTAAGAACTTTTAAGATGAACCGTCTTAGCGACTTTCAAATATATAATATAGTATGTTTGATTTTTAATGAATTCTCCCACACACCACATTTGCTGCCTGTACTAAACATTCCAAGTGTGGGGCTAGAAGAAATTGGTGCTATGAACACATAAGAAAGAGGGTGGAACAGTTGCTACCCTTGTTTAATATAGCAAGATATGTTTTGTATAAATAGATCTCCTCAGCTGCTCTGACTCTGTTGAGGAGAAAAGAAGCTAGCGGTAAAACCAGGTGAGTTCCATCATCATGGCATGCTGACTAATCAAATATTAATGCTTATCAACATTCACACTTCTGTTTAAAGATCCAGCACTGGAACTTACATGCCCTTTGGTCCCAAATCGTGGATGAAAGACAGCTGACTTATATCAAGGAATTCTGTCTGAAAAGAGGCCAAAAACCCATACTTTAAAAAGTTAGAAAAAAGAAAAATTTATGCATTCAAAAAACACATATTAGCTATCGCAGTGTGTAAATACACCTGTGGTACTGCACAGACTACACAGATCAATAACAATGGGACTGCCCTGGAAGAATACAGATTAGAAGTATATACATAGTTAAAACACAAGCAAGAAGGTGATACATGCTCTAATACGTACAAATAAAATGCTTAAGAAGGTCATGGAGAAAGAATTTCCTCCCAGTAGTCTTCTGTATTTGTTTTTGTTGTTGGCAAAGGCAGACTGTGTGGCACAGTGTACACACAAACTATAAAAAACTGTGTAAAGAGAGTGAAGTTGGTGCCAGATTTGGAAGATGGACTAGACTTGGCATGTGGAAATGGGAGATGAAGGGGGCCATAGAACAGGAAAGGCGTAAAAAGGTAATTGGATGCATAGTTAGGCAACAGTCAGCCAGATAAAGGAGAATAATGGAAAATTAAATGCCAAAGTAAGCTGAGCGATGGTTGGGGAGGTCTTGGAATACCAAACTATTCTAATAAAAATGTAATAAAATTAAAATCAAATAACTAATAAAAATTTAATTATGTGTAATTATAATATAAAATTATACTTTAGTGAGTATAAATTAAGAGAATTTTTGATTCATCTTCACTTACTAAATCATGAGATTAAAAACTGTTAATATTATAAAAAACACCAACAGCTAACATTCATAGAAAATACATAAATAAGTATGGCTGTACTTCACTAAAACTTTATTTATCCATACTAAAATATGAATTTAATATCATTTTATGTCAGGAAGTATTATTCTTTGTTTGCTTTTTTCCAATGTTTAAAAATGTAAAAACTATTCCTATCTCATGAACCATATGAAAACAGGCAGTGGGCTGGATTTGGTCCATGGGACATTGTTTACTAATCTCTGGTTTAGAGAAGTTAAATAAATTGCCCAAGATCACTCAATTAGCAATGGGTATTCAGAATCAGGTCAGAGCATCCAGTATCCTGAAAACTAAACTGCAAAAGCAAAAAGTCATTCAACATGTATCTTACTCAAACTAGGTGAACATTAGGTGAGAACATGTAGGCACAGAAAGGAAAATCAATAAATGTTATGTAATTCTTAGCATATGAAGAAGTTTTACCTCATATATTCCTTGAAACAACTAGAGTTTAATATTATTTTGACCCTAATTTACAGAAGGGTGCCACAGTCACCCAGATCTGCCAATGGTCTTGGACTATATCAATAACAGCCTTACTAGAAAAATCGATGACAAAAAATATATGTTCCTGGCATCAGGAAGCAGACAGGAGATAAGACATGGAAAACACTCCACAGCAACAAAATTCTGTGGGAAGAACAATAATACTTACATGTGAAAGTTTTTTAGAGTTATAGAGACAGGGTGGCCACTTTCTAGCTGATATGACATCTCAGAGGAAATAGTGTTTGATCTGGGCTTGTAAATAGAATTAATAAAACACAACAGTTTTTCCTTTAAAGTTTTTATATGTGATTGGAAATATCTAATATTAACCTTATAAGAAAAAAATTACAAATCTCTCAGAGCTGTCTATCCTTGTGAGGTCCAATTAAATAATTTCATTTTTTTTCCTTAGGGTTATTTGAAGAAGTATTTAAAATTCAAAAGAACTTAAAAACCCCAAATAAAACATATCCTCATGTTGAAATTTCTGTATTTTAAAAGTCAAGGTCTTTACATTTCATTTCTTGTATAAAACTTAGTGATTCAGTGCCTTCCATTTTTAATCTGATTTGTGGAAATGCTTACTAATTGTAAAAATGTAGAAACACATATTAGAAATAATACTGCAGACCTGAAACCATAAATAAAAAATATTTTAAAATACTAAGCCACAGCTCTCATTTTATCTCTAGGAAGAGGAGACAAAATGTCAATCCCAGTTTACAATGAAAGAAACTACTACAGAGGGGCAACTAATTTATGCAAAGTTGAAGAATAGTTGAATGGAATACCAGCAAATGGAAAGCAAATGTCAAGGAAATCACTTATCTAATACCAGGGTATTTTCTTATTCACAAAGCTCTTATCATCAAATAGTTGACAACAAAAATATTTTTTGAAATAATTCTGAAATTATAACTTCAGGATATCCTAACAAAATTGTAAGTGTAAAGAATTTCATCTAAATTTAAAAGTATACATTAGCAATGCAGGAAGTTTAAAGTTGTGCATTAATATGAAATTTTAAATTATCCTAATGGCTTAGTAAAGTTTGACTAAAGAGAGATTTTGAGAAAGAAATAGCCCTATATCCTCAAAAGCAATATTGAAGGATTTATATTTTTTCCCTACCTAATCCTCCCAGAATCTGGCAAGTTTTAGTGAGTATTATTATTTTCATAGCAGTATGTTTCCCCAAAAATCTTTTTTCTTTATACTAAAACACATATAGCCAGTTTCCAATTGTGGTTTATAAACCAAGACTTTGACTAGAATGTCATGATAGAGAAAGACATTCCTAGATTCTGGATGCCACCAGAAAAGTTTAAGGAATCAAGATTGACTTTGGAAGCTGATAAAAGCCTCTTGGAGAAATGGCCTGGTTCCTTGCTTATGAGGGAGTACTCAAAATCCTGCAATTATCTTCTGGAGATGAGCCATTTCTGGAGAAGTCTATACTACAAGGGTACAGACTTCCCCCACTAGGTGAGTGTTCTAGGAACCCATCTGTATCAGTGTACCAGAGGGCATTGTTGTGAGGGGCTGCATTGAGCTTCAGTGACTTACTTTTTAAGACTCTTTTAACGCATTTGTCCATTTCATGATGGGTGATTTACAAGCATACCTGCCCACACCATGCTGAGTGTTCAGCAGTTTGTTTTTTTTTTTACTAGAAACGGTATGATCCCCATGCCCTACCCTCCCTATTCACCCAATCCCACCCCAAGTGACTTTTTTTGTTTGTTTCCCTGGATGAAATACGTCCTCAAAGGGAAATGTTTTGTCGATGTGGAAGGGGTGAAATTAAAAAATGGCAGCTTTACTAGAAGGTATCAAAATGAATGAGTTCAAAAACTGTTTTGAGCAGTGGTAAAAAGTCTCTATAGGTATATTGCATCAAATGGAGCGTACTTTGAAATCACTGAAGTTCAACATGTAAGAATAAATACACAATTTTTAATAAATTCCGGGTTTTGGGGGGGTTGCCCCTCATATTCACATGTTTCATAGCAGTCTTTCCAGATAAGGAATGGTGATTGCTCTCCCTGGAGATGGCAAAGAAAGATCCTTAAGACATTTTTGGGGAACTTCAAGAACTTGAGGAACTCACCCAAACTTGTAGGTATTGTAGGCAAAGCCTAATGGGAACAATGTAGCTTAGCTTCTTTGCCCTAAGGGGCTAATTAAAGTTCAATCTGGAGATTCCTTTTGAGATTGCAGCAAAACAGACTAAGAGCCTATATGATCAATTATTATTCTTGTTGTGTTTATGAAAATAAGCAGACCAAATTGGAACTGGTCTTAATGCAGTAGAGAGTCTTGATTTGGCTCTCTTTGATTAAAATGAGGGTGATTTTAGGGGGGAAATGTGTTTCAAAAGAATCTATAATACACAGTGGTGGATATTAGACTTTAATTAAAATTTTATTTTTCATCTACAAACTGAATTGGTTCCTGAATTTTTCTAGTTTTCTCCCAAACTAATGTTTCATTTTTCACCCATTTTTTATTTTAAATTACTGAGAACTAAAAATTTTTTTTCTGAGCTTTGCTCTCACAAGTTATAGCCAAAGGACATGATATATATAATCTTGAGAAATTGCCACAACAGCTCATGCTTAAACAATCTTAGTAACTGATGTTGTGTAAACCATACAGAATTTACATCACCAGAGATATTCAAACTGCAGATAAGAAGGATTATCACTGCTTGCTTTCATTCAACAAAAGAAATTTTGAGACTTACATATAAAAATCCTCTCCACTGACAGACTTACAGACTCAGAAATGGGTTTATAATTTGCTCTTATCACTAACCTTTGTGTTTTTTTTTCTGCTTTCATAGGCATAGTCTTTATTAAATACCTGATTGCTTATTTACAAAATATAGGTCTCGCCTTAGGACTCCATCTTCATAACCACCTCCTCAAATGAGATTCAACAATATAACTGAACTGTCTTATTTTCAGGATTATATAAATGAGTCAATGAAATACGATATGATTTCAAGATAATGATGCTTCAGGGATTCCAGGCTATCCCTACTTTGGAAGAATCCGTTAACAGCTTCTGGGTTCCAGTCTCTGATCCTATTCCCTTATCTGTCTTAGGCAGGGAGAGATTTCCATACCCTACAGGCTGGACTGTGGTCCTCATCAGCAGGAAGCAATTACTGAAGATTTACCATTCTCTTTTCATTACCCCTAAAAGATTTCAGGAATGGAAGTCTCCTGAGGGGGTAATGAGACAAACTAGTAAGCCAGGACAAGTGGAATAGGAAAACTGAGACACACAGTTGAACTGCCAAGCAGTTTAGAGCCATCTAGTAAATCACAAAATCCTACCTTTCCTAAACCAAGGACACTTAAGAGTAAATGGTTTATACTTCTCCCAGACCAGGGGGGAAATAGTTTAAATAACCCTATTGAGAGACAGAGAGATAGCAGAAATCCAATTAGTACCATTTGAGCTAACCATACCCAAAGACAGTGAAGTTAAGGGAATAAATCTCATTTTGGCACATCAGTGTAAAGCTGATAAATATTCTATTGAGATCCTCCCTAAGACCTCCCTGAAACCCCAGCCTTTAAAACCCTCAAGATGAAGGACCCAGCACATACTTTCCCTCCCAGGAGCATTCCTGGGCCTTTCCCTTCCCCTTCTTCTTTCCCTCACAAGCGTGTATCTCCTAAACTCTAAGGGACAGGTAGCAAACACAAGGCCTGTGGGCCGAATCTGGCCCTACACCTTGTTTTATCCAGCCTGGCACCTTGTTTCTACCCAGCAGCAGTACAGAGCTCTCGCTTAACTATTAAGAAGTAGTTACATTTATACAGCCCTAAAATAACATTCAGCCCTTTGAAAGCAACTGCGAGGCTGATGTGGCTCCCAGTGAAAACGAGTTTGACATCCCTGCTCTAAGGGACCAAATGAGACTTGCAACCAGTGCAGCAATGGGCAGCAGCAGCTCATCCTGGGCTAACTGAACCTGTCTGTCCACAAGGCCCCCTTTTCTCTAGCCCTCCAGCCCTGCCTCAGCTCACTTCTTTCCCACAACATTTCTAATGAGACAAAGTAGCCCCGCCTAGTCTCTCTCCTGTTGCTTCATATATCCTAAGCCCTTCCTTGTTTCCCTGTCTCCAGCTTAAACAAAACAAAATAACAATCCCTGTTATAAAGAAAAAGAAAAATCTCTGACAATAAATACTCTAATACAGATTTATCAGATTGAAAGTAAATGTGGCAAGATCAATTTAGAAGCAAACCTAAACAATACAACTCAAAATTTAACAAAGATTGTGTTGTCTCAAACTTTTCACTGTATCTTCAGTGATAAGAGTTCCATTCTCCACTTGGGCAGGTGATTCTTAGGAGGAAGATCTAATCATTAATTTAGCCTGACAATATTTCACTGGGCTTATTGTCCTTGAATAATGTACTAATCAATATCTTTCCCCCTCGAGGAACTTTAAAAAAGCGTGTTAGGGAAACAGTGAAGTGAAGAGTTCCCATGCAGAGGAACTACAAACAAACCCTAAGGGTAAAAAACAAACCCTGGAATTTACTTGGCAATCACATACACATTGTTTCACTACCCTGTCTTTGCATTAGAAGAGAAGGGGGATTTTCAGAGGTCCCCTATATTCCTGAGGTAACAAAATTCAAGAGAGCGACCAAGTAGGAAATTCTCAGAAGTTAAGACAAGAACGTGGGTTGGACAGTACCCTCGTAGTAAGGGTGGGAAGTGGGTTCAACTACTCCAGCAAAGGCTGCCTTCCAGGTAAAATACAGCTCTGGGAAAAAAGAGCAGACAGCTCATCTGCAGCGAAAACAGAGAGGCTGGACCGAGGCCTCTGGACTTTCCCACGTCTAAGACTCACATGAGAATGACAACACTTCCATTAATTTGCAGATGCTGCTGTTTAAATCAGTACAGCTTTTCTCTGTTGGCATGGAAACACTGTGGGTGCACCTTTATTAATCTTTACTCACTCTCCCCCTCAAGCTAAATTTATTCATCTTACAAAGCAAGGGACAGGTGAGTTCATTGTTATTGATCCATGGGATGTTCATCCTCAGATTCCTTACCTTCAGCATGGTGATTTCAAGCTAATTACCACCTTGGAGATAAGAAATCTAAGTTCGGGAATCAGGTGATTATCTTGAAGTTAGCAATATCACCCTATCAGCTTAGAACCCTTCTCTGGGAAATTATGCCCTTTGTTCCATTTCTAGAGTTTAACATTCAGTCAGGAAAAAGTACATTTATTGTTTCCAATGGCTCATTCTTTAAATTCCCTGGAAAATAAGCATTTTCCACTTATTAATTAAAATGCCATCGAGTGGGTTTGGTACTATAGCCAAAATCAATACAAATCAGAACACACAAGGAATCCTGTTTGAAATTCCATGTTATTGTACAATTGAGTAAATATTTCTGTTTAGAAAAAACATATTTAGGCCTTGAGAAGAGGCCAAATACATTTGGCCCCATTTTACAAATGCGTAGAGAAAACAGAACAAATTACCATTCATCTCTGAGGGAACTATCTGAAGCTAAACCCACTAAAACACTAGGACAATTTGTTTTTCAGAATCTCAGGGAGAAAAAGAGGAATAAAAACAAAGGAAGTCTTCATACTCCTGGAGGGAAAAACACTTGTCTAAATACTAACACAACCAATGACCATGTAAAAGTAGGAAGAAAGAGCTGTCCAAGTCTGATTTCATCAAAATTTTATTGAAATTAGGGACATGATCCTATCTGATCTCTTGACCTCTGATGAATGACCCTATTGGCCTAAGGACCCAAATTACTTTATAATAGGTTTGTCTTACACTTAGAAAATATAAATGAATTATTCATGATCATATAAAATAACTTCTTAGTATGCTTTTTGCAGACAGCAGTTTTAATATTTCTCACAATTATCAAGGGAGACACAGATGCCCATCTAATTTCACAAATATGAGGTAGAGGCCTGTAAATCTAGTCTGTGGGCAGATCACATTTAGTGTGAAAGGAAAACAATGTCAGAGAATGAAGATATATGAAATTGTATCCTATAGTTGAATCATTTTTGAGAGTTCTGCTGTTGCTATCAAAAACAAGGGGTAACACTGTGGCTCAGTGGATTGAGCACCAGACTACGAACCAAAGGGTTGCTGGTTTGATTCCCAGTCAGGGCACATGCCCAGGTTGCAGACCAGGTCCCCAGTGGGGGGCATATGAGAGGAAACCACACATGGATGTTTCTCTCCCTCTCTTTCTTCTTCCCTTCCCCTCTCTAAAAAATAATAAAAATCTTTAAAAAAACCCAAACAAACAAAGAGTAACATATATTCAGACAGCTATAACCAGGTTTTCCCTTCCAAAGGAAATGTTTAGAAGACATTCTGGAATTTCTAAATACAATATGGGTCAACCTTGGAAAGCTGTTTATGACTAAAAAAAGATATTAAAATAAACATTTAAAAATTGTTTAGTCAACATTAGAATCCAAAATGTAATAATGTACATGGAAAGAGAAGACTAAACCCAGCAAGTACTGTTCTAGAACCAAAAGAAAGAGTAAAAGTACAGCACAGACAGCCAGAAAAGTAAAACAAATGGAAAATCATTGCATCTGGTGCTAGTGCACATTTAAATAATTCCCTATTAAATAAAGCAACATAACTGAAAACAGATTTCAGAGAACACAACAGGAAGCAGCATTTTTATTAGTAAGAGTAGCAATAACCTTATTTGTTACGTTCTTTCAAAGTTCAATGTTTCTGAGTTCTAGAAGGGAAGAAATCCTTCCCATCATCCTTCTCTTGAGGTCCAATGGTTGGACCCAAATTTCTGGTTTCCCTAGGAAAACTCTTCTCCAGGATCATGAAACCATACAAGCTCCTTCAAGTCCATCATCAAACATCACAGGGCAAGCTGCTGCAGAAAGTGGGTCATGGTCAACTCGGGTCATTTCTGTGTAAAAGGGACCAGTTGGATATGTGCCCTACCCTCTAAATAATACACTGGCAGACAGCAAGCCGTCAGAGCTAACAAAAGACTCCTAAGGGTGAAGGCACTTTTGCTTCCTCTCCTAAATGCACAGAGGCCTTCCCTCTTTCTGTTCAGTATTTATGTGATAGCACCCTGTAAACCAGAGGCCAAGTCAGAGCTGCACCTGCTTTGAAGCTCTGCACAGACACCGCATACATACACTCAGCCCCCCAGCAATATAATGCATACAGACACAGACACAAAGTATGCTAATCCAGTGCACTCTCAATTGGCTGGGCCTTTACATAATTGAAGACTAATCCTTTAAAAACACCACACCTTCCAGGGCCTCTAAGGGAGTAGAGCTAGTAGTTTTCTGATTCCCTCTGTAAAGCCTGCTCCCCCATGCTGGCTGCTATGTGCCTCCCAGCTGTTTCCAAGTCCCATCTTCTCTTATTTTCCAGGAGGTTCTTCTCTCCCTAGCATTTCCCATGCTTCTCACTTTCACATGAAAAGGCAGGCCTTTTATAAGCATCACAGGCTGATCAGATGGCATTCACAGTACCGTCTGTATAATCTTTGAGTATTCAACTCTGCTCAACTGTTTTCATCACTTCCTACTTAATGTTTTCTTGTAAGGGTTAGAAATGCTTTGAGAGATTATTCTGGAAGCCTGAGGAGAAAAGAAGGTTGATTTCTAGATAATCAAGCCTGTAGCTGCATTTCAAGATCATTTAAATCCATTGTTATAGACAAATTCAGCTATATTTTATATTTTAAAATAGCATCACCGTACCTTAGATCCTTGCTGTCAAATCAATTTTGTATTCATTTTATTTATTTTAATGCAAGGAATAATTCTAAAGTGGATACAAGCACTTGTGTAAATAAAATGATCCAAAATTTAGCTGACAATTTACAATTTTATAAATTCAAAACTTAATCACTAAATATACTTACTGTTGCATGATAGTTTCTATACATGGGCATTTTTAGTAACTTGGTCAAGTAATCTTCCAGTTGTTTCTGTAATGCAAATACTTGAGATAAGAGATAATATCATCACACTTACAGAGAAATTTAGACAGTAGCAATAATGTGATCACTGGCCCATCTTAACTTCAGTAAATGATTCAATGATTTGCTACTATTATCACTGGACAAGAGATCCCGAATAGCATTAAGGAGTTATTTCCACAGTCCCCCTGAACCAATACTTAAATCTCTTCTTGCCATTTTACTTTCCACCTGCTTAGGTCTTCTGTAAGCTGCTCACAAGGCCCCAGCTGTACGTTCTTTTAATCTGCTGTGGTTACTAGCACAGAACTTGCCCATAGTGGGTGGTTTTACAGCATTTGTTGATTTTTATCAAAAACCTGAATTTCCTCAATTCTAACACTGGATTGACTAGAAGATACACTGCCATTTTTAAACAGATTTTCAGGGAGAAACAGGAAGGGTGGCTAAATAAAAAGTTTCTAGTAAATTGTACCCTGATTTCGAGTATGTTCAAGTGAGAGGGGTTAGGGGGATGTCCACTACACCGACTGCAACACATGCTGGAGCACCGGCTGTTACAGCCACTGCTGATCGTTTCCAACCGCACTCGTACATGTACACACGGCAACCCCAGCTGTAGAATTTTATTTGTCTAGGTGTCCTGGGAAATAAGTATCCTAGGTCCCTAAAAAGGTTTTAAACAAGATGGCAATTACAAAGGAGAAATAAAAAATGCTTTTCAGACCCCAAAAGTTTTGAATGGGAAAACACCGCTAACATTTATTTGTTAATTTTCTAGTAAAAGAAATTAGTTCATCCTATGCAGGACCACATCACTGAAGCAGAGCAGGCCTGAAGCTTCTACCCTGCTGATGCACATGCCTGCAACCCTTTCCTACTCTTCCTACACCCTAACTGCCCCATCTATAGTTTGGGAATGAGGTTTTATATCTATTTAGGACAAACTATTCCAAATTCCGAAGCTAATGTATGAAAATATATGATTTAGAAAGAGTGGATCTCAAACTCTCACTAATGAGCTCAATCTTGACTCATGACAAGTCCAAAGAGATTCCTACTGGGAAGACAGCTTCTTTATAACATCGCTCCTACCAAAGAAAACTCTTCTTCTGGAAAAACGCAACCTCCCCAGGGTCAGCATAGCTTGGGGAAGAAAGGGCTGCCTAACTTGTTCCAGAGAAACTACACCAGGCTGGGTGATGGATCAGTGGGTAGGAAAGGTTGTAGCCGAACCCACCTCGTCCCCCCAGTAGCTGCCACATTTCTATGGTGCTGCCACATTATGCTCAGAACAACAGAAGAGTGAAGGACTTACCCTTCTCCCCAAGAACTGTTCTTCTTTGATCATGTTTTCAGAGGCACGGGGCAAGCTTGGCATCTCTCGAGGCTCTTCTTTGACATTCTGTCTTCTAAAAGTGTGTCTAAAGCACACACACAGTACAATGAGAGCATTTACTGGGTTATTCTTAGAGCCATGGCTCTAGTATCTTTCATGAGATGGCTTACTATTAGAAGGGTCTATTTAATAGGAAATATCCACCAACAATGAACAGTTAACCCATAAAATGAATAAAATACTCTTTGCACTCAACTTGGACATGGGGATAACCTTATAATTAATTTTGAAGCAATTACCTTCTGGTGGGAATGGGGATTCGGATAAAGGCTTTGTACTTGAGCAGCTCTCTGTGAAATTCTTGAAAATGCTTGAATTTCCTTTTAACTTCCCACTTAAATTCCCCATGTGTTAATTCAATTGTGTAAAGATTGGTACTTCGTACCTACAGGGACGAATGAAAAAGAGTGGTATTTTAGTTAACAACAAAAATTCCAAAATCTCTCAATTAACGATAGTTAATTTAATAAGTAACATGCAAGTACCTTACATCCAACTTGAGTACTTAAGTAAAATGTTTCAAAAACAACTGATTACAGAATAATATTCTCTTAAATGTTTGCCTTATAACATACATAGGACAACCTCAGAATCACACTAAAGACCAACTCCCACAAATTCTATTGTTCCAAATATATAAATATACACACACATACACACACACCTGAAACAAGAAACCAAGTCAAGGAGACAATGCGTGAAGACCCTAACTAGCCACCAGGGGTTGTCCAAAAGCAGAAGCAGTGAGCGCAGTTGGAGGAATGAAAGGAAAGTGGGAGGAAACGGGTTCCAGGAGCACTATCGTAGCCCTCCACAAATGACATTATGTCTTCTGAAATGCATTATAAGGTCCATCCTTGTCTGCATCTCCCTGTACAGAAGCATCACCAGTAACCATTAGAGGGAAAGGAGCAAAAGATCTCACTACATACAAACTATTTCCCCCCTTAACTATTGCTGGAGGGACAGGGGGAAGATCTCCAGCCTGGGAGGGCAGGTGACAGCATCTGCCTCGTCAGGTCCTCATGGGAGTGAAAAGCAAAGTGCTTAGCCATGAGCTGGCACATGGAACGTATCCAACAATCAGAAAAGGGGTCATTTTTATTTACCTGCAATCACATGCAAACTGCACAGATTTAGTTCATGTTTTTTAGTAAATGAGACACTAAGTAGGATAAGGATAATCCTTAGCTTTCTCATACAGACTGAAATTTAAAACGGAACTAAACCAAACCCACTTGACTAACAGAAGAGTATATGCAAGGAGAGGAGGCGGGGTCTGAAAGCTTGAGTATTTACCTTCATGAGTAACTTTAGAGATACCTAATACTATTAATAATAATAATACATAGCATTACACAGAGTACATAATACAATAGATAGTATATTTGTATACTCTAAGTATAATACTATGTATATTATTATTAAATCCTTATAACAAGTGTAGAAGATAGGCTCTATTATACCCATTATTCAGATGAGGACACTGGGAGAGGAGTTAAGTACCTTGCAGGAGGTCACAAAGCAAAGACAGGAATTAAACTATGCAACCTGGCTCTGGAGTCTGTGCATTGAACCTCCATGTCACTGCCCCTCAGTCTAAAAGCTGGTAGGCAAGTAAAAGGCAAAGGTCACCTTAGAGACATTTCTGGGGTTGCTCAGTGGTGTACCAGGGAGAGAAGGACCCAACTCACAGGAGAGCCTGGAGAAACGGCTGCGCACCGAGGTGTGTGCAAAGGAGGAGTCAGGATGGCATGGGGAGGTTGAGAGAGCGCCAGGCAGAGCCATTAGGACCCAGGCAGCACATGTCACCCTCACAAAGACAAAGAGGAAGGGAAGGCCACCCCTGCTGGGGCTGGAAGGTTACTCTACACTTGCCCTGAGGCAGGCGGCCATGGTGGCCTTACTTGCCTGCAGCCAGAGCTTATCCTAAAGAAACAAGGCCACCACCAAATGCAGCAACATTCCTTATCCAACAGACTCAACAACTACAAAGCAGCTACCCTAACAGTTTCTCCAGGTCCAATCCATCCAAAGGGTGCGGCTTTGCTTGATGGAGATCCTTTACTCCGGATGCCATTCCAGTCTCTAAGGGAAAATGTGCAAATGAGGCCTAACAGACAGGTGCTGGGGACACATCAGGGTGGAGTATGCCAGCAGAATTCTCTCCACAGTGCTTTTGGGTAATGGCTCTGGCCAGTCAGCATCCTGGCTTTTTTCATTCCAAGAGCCAAGTAGCTTCATTCTGTTCTTCCTTGACAAGCATTAGGAAAGCTAAACTTTTCCTTGGCTTCTATCTGGCATTTTAGGTGGAATGGCTGTGACCTCAAGAACCCACATCGAACAGAAAACTGGGCAGTGAGGAAGACCAGGAGAGGCACTTTGCAATTTATTAAATTTCTAAACTGCCTTTTTTTAAAAAAAAAAAGTATTTCCCAGGATAGGGAAAGAGACATACAAGAATGAAAACTAAATGAAAAGAAAGTAAGCCCCTGAGAGGTAATGAGGCCTTAGAAGTGATAACAAACAAACAAACAAACAAGAAGCTAGAAACACAGGCACAGCTACGAGGAAGGAAAAGGGAAGTCAGTGTGTTAACTCGTATATATCGACTAATACAAGGTGAGTCCAGCAACGTGCTGACCCTTGTTGTAGATGCAAAGCGCTCCACTTCCAGAACTTGGGCTTTGATTGGACAGCCAGAGAGGTACATCTGTGCATTAGGCTCCTTAAATCCTTGCGTCTTGTAAATAGCAGAGAAAGGGATATACACTGGAAAATAAATAAATCAATAAAGTTATTGCAAGAACAAACTGATATGTAAGATTACATGATAATAGCATAACTTGCCTTTCCCAGGCATCTTTTTCAAGAATAACAACATGCGACAAGAAACAGTCGCATGCTATTATTAACGAAACAGTCTCAGCCCAGGGTTAGGACCTCAGCAAAAGAGATCAATCGTTTGCTGGTTACTTCAAATCTGTGTCCTGCCAGGCTGCCCTAATAAGCTCTCTTCTGGCTCAGACCATCAGCCTTTACCTTCCTGAATCCTGGGGTCGCTGGGAGACACATCACAGTCCACCTCCTCTCCCTCAAAATGGAGCTCCCGGGTGTCCAGGTTTTCTATCAAGTTACTCATGTCGGCAGCGATTTTCTGCAGTGTGGATGTGTCTGCTGTTGGCTCAGTTTTCAGTGACATGTCGGCTCCGGACAGGGTAACAGCAAGGGGACTGAAAAAGAAGAAAAAATTATAAGGACTTGTTATTTTGGTCCAATAAAGCCCTACTCTACATTTTGAATCCAGGGTTAGACACGCATAAGGAAACAAGTCAGCAAGCTCCGTGAGAGCCCCAGTTATTTCAAACAACCTCTCAGCTCATTTTCTTGTTTAACATTTAAAGGGTTCCCAGCTTGTAAATTAAATTGGAATGGGACACTTAATTGTAAACAAGGAAATAAAAGAAACACCACACTGAATATGTGTTAACATCCAATTTTTATTAATTGGATTAATGAGGAGAGACTCAAGGGAGATTGGTATGGGAATTATTATTCAGAGAAAAGGGACTGACTAACTCAATTACATGGAAAGAAAGAATATATAAAATAAGCAACTTGAAATATTTTCTATGGAAAATCTAGATCATTTTACAACAATTTTAATATGTAGATTTTAAGATATTTTCAGATAGCATAACCTTTCTACATTTACTCTGTAGGTGACATTCCAAGCAAGGTATAAGCTACCTTTTGGAGACAGGATTTGGCCATGACTTTACATGAGTTATAATGATGTACATGTCCCTAAAGGTAATTCGTTGGTATACCTACTCTGAACGACATAAGAGGTGCTAGAATTATACTTCTCTCCTTTTTAAAGAAAACTGGTTCTATTTCATTCTGACATTTAATAACACAAGTCGTTGCACATCAGTACCCAGGGGAGAGGAGTTCATATAGATTTTATTTTTCATTTAAAATACTGCGATTTAAGCCTTGAGCACTCTCATCAGAGTTGGATGAAAAATCCGTCTTGCCTGAAATAACCTCTCTGTTACAACCAGGCCCGAAAACAGGAGGGCTTTCGTACCAGTAACTTCTCCACACATGCTCATTTATTATTGCAAATCACAAATATTTACTGAGCACGCATTCATTACTCACTCTGTGAGATGCAGTGAGTGAGTTCGTAAAGATAATGAGGCTGGTCTTTGTGATTAAGGAACGTCTAATGTGGGTGAAGGAAATAGGCTACATAACCCCAAATCCATCCTTGGCTTCCACTCAGCACATGCCATTCTCAGGAAGACACTTAGCTGGGTTGCCTCCCACAGGGGCATCAAAACGCTGGAGGGCTCTGCTGGAAATGCAAACTTGGGCAGCCCCTATTGTAACTCAACAAGTCTGTAAAGCCTCTACTGCTTTGTCTGGCAGAAAGAGATCCTGGCTGGAAATTCAAAGATGGAGACAGAAGAGAGTGGTTCTGGTTTGGTCAGATACATGTAATGGATATAACTAAGTTGCCTCAGAGCTATGTAATCAATCATGTTTCTCTTTCTGTGTTGGCTGAAAGGCAGCCTAGAGCCAAATCTGTGGCCTACTCTTAGCAAAATATAGGACTAGCCTTGCCTGCATCACTTCCCTTTAACTTTCTCGCCCACTTCAATTCATATTGTAATAACATACAATTACTTAATACGCACCTGGCTTGGTGATAATCCTTTATGTACATTAGTACATTGATTGTCCGTAATAAATCTATGAAGCATTGTTATTTCTACTTTGAAGATGACAGGGGTTTGTCATCCCTCCCTTAGAGCTAAGGAGACTGAGACATGGAGAGACTAGGTTAACGAGACGAACACTTTGGATAATCTGACCTAGGTCTCAGAGGGGAAGGGATCTGAAACCAGTTCTCTCTGACCCCAAGAGCTGATGCTCTCAAGCATACAGGAAGGTCTTATCTTCCTATATGATTTTTGTAGGTATATAAATGCCCCTAGAATAGATGGAAGTCCGTTTTAGTAAAACAAGGTTCGGCAAGGACCTAACTCAAATGGAAGGAAAAGGGGATGGATTCCTCTTGCAGCTCAGCATCACAGGATGGAGTCACTTAAATTCTCAGGGCCTAAGGGGGTTGAGCCATTTCATCTCCAGGGTCCGTCTAACACTAAAAACCTAACCGTAACTATAGATAAAAGATGCTATGAACTGTTCAGCCTCTCCTCACAATGTAATTAACATTACCCTTCTCCTATGCCAAGATATTAACCCAAGTAGTTTTCACATAAATATGACAAGCAGGTGGCAGAATGGTCTTTAACCTGAAAAATTTAATCAAAGTCTGTTCTGTCCCCATCAAGGCACTGTTTGCCTCCAGTCGCAATTAAAATATTTATTTCCTTCCCTGTCCATTCAACAAACACTCACTAGATGCCAACCAGGAACCAGGTCCTGCTTCATCTAATACAGGAGGTAATGAAAACTTTTAGAGGAAATGAGACACTTGGAGAAAATGTGACTTCATAGAGCCTTTTGGTATTGTCTATTGATTGAAAGGTCTTATGATGAACTCTGCCAACCTTCTTAGCATAGCACAGGAAAACAAGGGTTACAATGACTTTGCCTTTGGACAGACTGTTAATGTGAAAAATGAATGTTAAATTTAAGACATACAGAGATATCTTAAATATCTCTCCACATGGTAAATAATGGGAATAAACACCACAGAGTCACTGGATCGAGCTAAAATAAATATTGTATTTCAAATAGAGAGGGAAAAAGCATAAACATGTGGAAAACTTAAAGAGGAATAAGAAAAGAAACAAAGGAATCCTCTTGTTTATCCTCAAGTGTTCACTACGTGCTAAACACAATTTTAGCACAGTTATTTTATTTAGTAACCAAAATGATTCTACCTGGTATTTATGATTATCCTGAAAGATTTGGTTAAGTAACTTGTCCAAGGTCAGCCAACTGGTGTTGGCACTGAGTTTATAAAGCAGGTCTGGCCCTGCAATTGCATGAGTTTGGTTATAGAGGTTCCTAATTATTGATTTTATGTTGTGGGTTTGAATGTCTATTAGTTAATCTTTTATATGAAGTTTAAATTCTGTCACAGCAAAATATCTTCTCTACTTTAATCTCCATATCTGGGGAAAGACCCTACTGAGTCCCATAGTCGCCGCAATTATGGAATCGATGTAACCGTATGGCCTCTCTTAAATGTCTTCTTAGCCTTTTTTGTTATGGTTCGTTATATTTTCTAGGGTAATGTGGAATTTCAGTGGACCCGAAGGATTTACAGATTTGTTCATGCTTTTGCAAACACTCTTATCATTTAATAATGAAAAAGGAACCAAATTATTTGTCCCTCATGGGTGTCCATGGTTGCTTTGTGCTGACTGCTCGCCCAACAACGGTGCTGCTGGTATCGTTCTTAAACACCCGACTGTGAGGCCATCCACAGTCCTAGTCAAACCTTCACTAATTAGCCCATGTGTTCTTTCATCTAAAATAATCTCCACTGGTGGGTGAACAGCTGCCACGGGTACAGCCTATCTTAACCAGCGGCAGGATAAGGGCTCCAGTGTTTTCATTTGAGATAATGTAATTGATTTAGTTACCTCCTTATAAAATTATACTGCAAGATTATTATCTCTTTCGGTACCAAGTAGAGATGGTGCGCATGGAGCGTTAACAGCAGCTGTGTTTTATTTCTGTTTGCATCTGCAACCAGGAAGTAAATAGGGTTTGTTTGGGTTGTTTTTTTTTTTTTTCCTGGTGCTGAATACTAGAATTAAAAATCTTTGCAGGGAACATTTAATTACCTCCAGTTATTCAGTGGCAAAATCAGAGAAATCTGGAGTTTTTCTCTGATCTTAATTTTCAAAACAATTGCGAAGCCAAACATCAAAGGGAGCAGATACTTTCCTGTCCAGATAACACACTCATAAACAATGCCATAGACAAAAATAACAATATTATCAACCATAATTACTAATATTAAAATAAATATTAGCATTAGCTAATATTGGCATTATACAAAAAATTAATTGCATGATCTCACTGAATTCTCACAACAATCTTAGGAATTGGGCCCCATTGTTACTCCCATCTTTAAGATGAGAAGCTTAGAGAGGGCGGGCAACTTGTCCAGGGCTACTCAGCTGAGAAGGGATAGAGCTGGACCTGCTATGGGTGATCTGGCTCCTAAGTCCAGCTACTTACCTGGCAGAGGTAGAGCTGAGGGCACCAGGGGGCACAGACACCAGAAGACCTTACTCCTTACTTTACATGCTTAGAATAAAACAATTCAAAAAGGAACAACGATAACAAAAAACTCAATGTTCATTCTGTGAGAATAGCTGTGATTTACTTCTTGATTCTTTTTCTAAAATAACATGCGAAGTCCCACCATAGTTTTTCAATATCATTTGTGCTTACCAATAGGAATAAGTATAATAGATTTCTAAACCAAAAGTCACATCTTAATTATGAATGTAAAATGTGAATTATAATTAGATCATTTAAAACAAAACTGAGTCATGAGGATTTCTTGTTTTTCCATTTTTCACTGTAATGAAATTAATTCTTAGATACATACTCCATCACCTCTGCAAACACACTGTACAGCAATGATTTGTACAGAACTGACTTGACGCTCCCTGAAATGCAAAATTCATAAATGTGGATTCAAGTACCACATTCAATCTCTAGTGACATGGTAAGCCTTGGATAAGTATTTCTTGAGTTCAGCTGACTTTGAATGAAGTAAATGATATTATCATATTTTACATTCCAGATTATATATTATGAGAAAATAATACATTGAGAGAATGGCTCTTGAGGTATACTGGCATCTTTGAGGGTTTTTTTTTAAAGAACATTAGGTCCAAAAATATCAATGGAGGCCTCACTCTGAGCCTTGGACAGGCAGTAAAATGTCAGTGATGTAGGAACAGGCCAGATGATCTAGACTCGTTCTATCTTTATTACCAGTGTACACTGGGCAACCGTCACCCTCCAGGGTCTCAGCTTCTGCTCATTGCAATGGACACAGTGTACACTTGCTATTATTTATATGGCTCCAAGAGACAGAAGTTTGATTCCCAAACATTATTCTCCCTCCGGCTTCACATCTAATCTGATCTCGAAGCCACCAGAGCCCAGCAAAGTCCCACCTACTTATCCTTCTTTCCTGGTTTCCTATCAAAGCCTCCATTTGACC